CCGTTCCGTCCCCCCAAACCCTCACCCAAACCACCCCCCCTAACCACACAAAAAAACAACCACCCCCGCCACCGCAATACCACAACAATATCCCACCACAGCCACCTTCCCCACACCCCCCACATTAACGCCCTCCACATCGAGCCTCGGTCTAGGATCTAGAAACACATAGACGTAATACCCCTTGACCGCATACGTCACATACGCCAACCCGCAATACATAGCCAGCAACATCAGAGACCACAGGAGGTGTATCCAGGGCGCGGGCGCGGAGCGCGTGGCGAGGGTTTCGAAGAGGGCGAAGAGGGCGTTGAGGGCGTGTTGCGAGGTGTTAGTGTAGAGGGAGAAGGGGGTGTTGAAGGTAGGGCTGGGGATGGAGGGGTAGAGGACGGACCAGAAGGCGAGGGAGACGAGGAAGGGGAATGTTGTTACGGTTGTATAGAGCAGGGCGTATAGGGCGCGGAAGAGCGGGGGGAAGCGCGGGAGGAGGGTCGGCGTGGAGGGGTGGGCGTAGGTGAATGTGTTGACGGAGGCGAGGAGGAAGTAGATTGCTTGGGCCCAGTAGCAGAGGACTGAGGCGTGTTTGTTAGTCTCTGTATTTGCAGCACTTTGGTTTTAGAGGGGGGGGATGGGATTGGATAGCGGGATATGAGGACGTACCGGTGAAATACGAGAAGCTCTTGTGGACATCGTGGATATCATGTCCGTCGTGCCCGCTTGCTTGCCAGCCAATGATGAAGAATAGGGTTGCGAATGCATATAAAGCCTAAGTGCCCAAGCAGATAAGTATTAGCAAATCCCTTCTTCAACTTGAGATAAAATCCAATAAAATCCCCACCAATAAAGAATACAAAAAAGAAGGGGGTAATGATGAGCAGAACTTACAAACACAGCTCGCACAGCAAACAAAACCCAAGGAGTCAGTAACCACGAAGTCTGAAAACGGTGGCTCGGATCCCAGGTGTCAGAGCTGAGTCTCAGCGCATGTCTCCAATTCGGCGCCATTACTTATTGTCCTTCTATAAATAATCCCGGCTGTCGTCCCGTGGGTTGGAGTGGATTGGATGGAGTCGATGGCGCGGGGTGTAAAATAGAAGAGGACGTGAAGTGGATGATGAGGTTACTTGTGTCTTTTCTATCGGCGTGTAGTGAATTTGATGCGGGTCCAGGTGTAGGAGTGTGAGACTGTATTGAAAAACAAGACTGTGTGAAGATGAGATGGAAATGTGAATTTTTTGGGATTACTGCCTGGGATAAGGACGTATTCGAGATGAATATGTAGAGGAGAGGTGGGAAAAGAAGAAAAGCGAATGATGAATTTTACTTAATCCAATGTGTTCATAGCAAATGGACTGGACTGCGATTTTGACTTGGACCGGAACTTGACTCTAATGGTAGTGTTAGTCTCAACCGCTTCTGACAGCGGTACCGAGCACTCGCTTAGAAGTTTAAGGGGGGTGTTAGTTTCTTTGTTTGTGAATACCGAGAGCCTCAAAAGGCTGAATGTGGGGACGGTGGGGCTTTGGAGAAATGTATTCGAGAGCCAGTACGTGTGCTTGATAAACCTCGAAAGCATTTCGGAACTTCTATATACACCCACGTCGCAGGTAAGGAATACCTCAATATTGCCTCGCGATACGCAGCAACAGAATGATCATCTTACATAAACCTCGTCTCAGCACCCTTCAGAACGCACCCCTCCTTCTCAGCCATAACAAAAGGACAATTGGCATACTGCTTCCCATGCCAGATCCTCAAACCCTTCGTATCAGTATCCGCAATCGAATCCGCACTCCCTAGCATAATGGCCCGCATTCATCCACCCAATACGTCCCCTCTTAATATCCAGCACAATAGTTTTGTTATTCCTCCAAAAGCCAGCAATTTCCCTGGTCGGCAAGTTTTGCCTGTTGCGTCAGCAGATTGCTGGGTTGAATTTCCGCGCGTCGGGAACCCCCGTAGAGGACCCTACTTGCCAATTCAACATCTTGCCCACGAAGGTTGGAGAATAATAGGCAATGGACATGGCAGCCGTATCATCATGTCCTCCGCCCTGGATTCCGCGGGTAGATGCGTAGAGATTTCTCGCGCGGTATAATCTCCAGAAACTGACAGATAAGAACAGCCGCCGCTGATGCTTGGGATTCGGAATGAAGAGATGGGGGTGTGCGGTGAGGGTGAGGGCGAGGATGTCGGAGGCGTAGGTGAGGGATGTTCATACGAGGAAGGCGGTAGAGAGGAGTAGAAGAGCGCGCTTTCGTAGCGGGAGGAGGGAGGGGCCGTATTTGCTCGAGGTGAGGGTGCGTGTGTCGGGCAGGATGAAGGTTTCCGCTTGTATTGTTGTACTGTACCTGTGATGCGGGAGACAAGACGAGACGATGACAGCGAATGAGAAAAAGAAGAGATGGATAGAGAAGGAAACAAGACATACGTAAACCACACTGCCTTCCTCTTACCGTAAGCCGTACTGTGATGTGTTCGTCCCGCGAGATGTTTCAAAGGGACGGCGAGGATATAACTATCACTGACATGTTTGTTGGTGATACTTCGTATTCACCTATGAAACTGAAACGGAATCCAAACGGCTCCCGGTTGCCAACCTGAGGGCTGAAGAAGAACCCGACGTCTCGTCACGACCCATCCATATTTTGTTCTTCGCGTGCATCCCGGCATATTAAGGCCATATTTCGAGCAGATATAGGATGGGATGGGATCGGTACAGTCTGCAAGAAGGGTCCGGTCGGAGAATTTGGAAAATAATTAAAACGCGGCTTCGGTGAGCGGCAGTCTCATATTGATGAACATGGCTGCTGCCATGTGGTTTGAGGGATACAATGACCCCTCGTGTTTGCGAGAGAGAAAGAATTAATGTGATGTGTACTTGGTACTAGATGCTCGTGGCCATGAAGAACTCTGGCAGTCGCGTGTCGCGTGTCTAGTGGCCCATGCCTTATTCTCCCGCATCTGGCAATAATACCTTCGTATGTTACTATTGCGACAAACAAATACTACTGTAATACCGTAAACGCACCAACTGCGTGTAAGGTTACGTATTATTGCCGCACCAACGACGCCCCTTTCTTTCCGTTCCCCGCCAAACCCGGAAGCCTAACAGCACGTGGCAAGGCTTGCTGGTAGGTCTTACCTCATGCAGGAGTAATATACAATAATACTCCGTATACGATAGTTTGGGTTTCTTGGAATTGCCTAGTTTGGCATTCTATATGCACTAAAGCTGTACACACTCATTCTTCTGTATTTCTCTCCCGCTCATGGGGGATTCTTTTCTCATACAGCAGCCAGTCATACCAAATATCCTATTCTGCTGAATTCTTCTTCCTCTCCCCTCTCCCCCCTCTCCCCTCCTCCAATCACGATCTTCAACTAATCACGATCGATCCCGTTGGCACTTCCGAGAATAGATTGATAGGCGCGTGCCGAGAAACCCCCTTGCCTGTAAACAGTGTAGCTTGGGTGGTCCGTCTGTTTTAGTCCAAATCATCTGGGTTTTGTTCCTGGGCTAAGCTGCTATCGGCACGGCTACTACGACTGGTCCGTCCATATTGATCTGCTACATTTTTACCTGTACACTTCCTTCATCTGGAAACTGACCCAACTACTCCCTCCTTTCGACTCTATAGTCAGTACAATAGTCAATCTGTATCCAGCCGTCAACATTAATCTTTTGGTGCAGTGTAGCAGTGGGTGGCTGCCAACCCGCCAACCCGCCAACCCGCCCTGTGCCTGTACACCCCTTTCTGCTGCTATCCTCTTCTTCCCCTCACTCCTGCAGCACAATCTATCTTTCTATCCATCCGGAGCTCAAGGGGCGGATGGGACACCCCCATTGTCGTCTGCAATCAATTACCTGATCTCCAGCGACCACCCGGAACCCCTATGTGCTCGCGATTTGAGTTGCTTTGCTAGGAAAATGCACTGAGCTTGCAGGGGGTATCGTCCTACCAGAATTGAAGGCGCACAGTATTATTCGCCTTGCCTTGCCCTGCCTGCCCAGTCGCAACCATGGCTTTTTTCTACGACTCTGACGAGGAACACGGTATGGGCGGCCTCCCTATAATCCTCGAACCCGACAACGAATCGAACCCCTCCCCAATGCGAAGATCGAGTTACGAGGCGGCCAAATTCCATAGACCAAATTACGACGGCTCGAGCTACAAGGGAGAATCAGACAGTGATTTCGAGGAAGAGGAGGACGAGGTGTCTCAATTGAACAGTGCAACATACGAAGAGCCATCTGTTGTCCCTCGATTGAATGCTTTGAGATATAATGGTTCGGAAGTAGCCCAATTGACCGAACCGAGTTACGACGAAATCAGATCCCGTACACTGAGAGAGCATGACGATACCATGAAAGAAGTTGGGGTTCCATTCGATACCATGAAGGAAGTTCATATCGAATCTCTGCCTCTACCTTCGGCTCCGTCTCCGGCTCCTCAGATTAACGTTCCAACCCATCCGATTGCATCCATGCAGGACGCCTTCGCGGAATCGATGGTAGAAGTTTCCGGGGGCATAACCAGTGAACCGAAAATAAAGGTTGATAGTGCGACTTTGAGAAGGAAACTGCTGCTTGACCAAGACATTAATGAGGAGACACATGCGTCCAGATGGCGACAGAAACCAGGGCAACAGTACCATGAGCTTTGGAAGTTGATGGCACAAATATCTTTCGGCATATATCTCTTATTAAATGGACTTGCCAAAGATGATAACCAGGTTATGAATATATTGCAAGGACATGTTGATGAGGTGGATGCATTTCTGGAAACCACACTAGAGGACTTCGACCTGGCCGACGGCGATATAGCAGAACGATTGGGTCTCCTGAAAATGCCTCTGGAAAATATTAAGATTTTTGACGCCATGTTGGAGGACCGTAACTTTCGTGTACAAATTGTCAATGGCAATGAGAGGATCGAACATGTTATAACCAGAACGGCAAGGGCAATGAACGATGCCCTGAAAGATGTCACACAAGGTCTGGATGCTTGCAAGGAGTTTACTATATATCTGGCCAGAGAACAAGAGGCTGCGGTGTGGAGACGGGAGCGACCCGACATGCAAAAGGTGTTCGATGCTATGAAGGGCAACGTTGAAGGATGGTACAAAGCATACGTATCACTGCAGACCAAAGGAAATAACCTTGGCGTTTCACTGGTACAACTTGGTACGATTGTTGCCGAGATGGACAAGAGGGCTGGTGATATCAGTCGGAGGCAAGCAAGAGTATGTAGTACCATCTTCACAGATCTCCGCATTTCACTCACACATTTACAGCTCAGTGGTTCATTATCATCTTCCGCGCCATCAACCTCCCCACGCGCATCCAAACAGATGCGGCAATCAATGTTGAGATCCCTCCCACCAGACCCGACAGTAATAACACCTGCGATCAAAGCTACTCTCCCAGCTTTTGGAATGGTTGATGACCGTGAACGATTGCCAGGACTAGAACCAGAGCAGCGGTCAGAGCTAGACGCCCAAAGCTTTGCTCCCACGGAAAACGAAAGCTCAGCTCCTTCAGAGCTAGCGGCGCCGGAACCCGAATTCATTCTTAAACCACATACGTACAGCCCTGCCCCTTCCCCAAAACTACCATCAGCAGCACGGGCCCCTTCACCGGTCGTTGAGAAAGCACCTGAACCCTCACCCGCAAAGCCAAAACTATCTCTGCGAAAACGATTTTCCTTGAAACGCAAAACGTCAGAAATGACCATGAAAGCCGCACCAATCCCAGCAAATGATGAACTCCTAAGTCCTCGCCAAAGCGTACGATCAGGCGCAAAAGAGAACATTGTCAACACGCCACCATCTCGTGGCCTAGATTCTGCCTATTGCTCAGATGTCGAAAAGAAAGAGAAGAAATCTCCATACTCCGGCTGGACTCACCCAGGTCTCCCCCGAAATCCCCCAGCTACTAATTCACCTCGAATGGTCAACATACCAGCTCGACAGCAAAGTCACGATAACCTACCTCCTGCGCTGACCCGTGACTTCATGCCCTCGCCCCGCTCCGATCAGCAGTTTTTCCGTCCCGTCCAAGCCTCCCCAAACTCGCCCCTTCAAAGACCCTGGACCGCAGCCCCCGCAAACATAGATCACCTCCACTCTAACTCTTCCTCTTCGAACCTCCGCTTCGGTGCCACGCCCACGCCGTCTAATATTGGGAACCGTAGAGGAGCACCTAGCGCAATGGGCATGAGCGTCATGACGGACATGACAATAATGACGGAGAACGGCAAGAAAGTTAAGAAGAAGCGCAGCGCACTCGGATGGTTGAAGAAACAATTCAGTCTGAGTGAGGAGGAGAAGGCTGCGTTTGAAGAGAGGAGAAGAGGCGCAGATCAGGATCATTATCGACAACAGGAGAGGGGCCAGCAGAGGTGGTTGGATGGCAAGAGGATTCGCTGATCTGACTATTTTAAGCATGTGCAGCCTGGCCAGGGGAGTTGGGAAACGTAAAAGTGAAAGTTTGGATTGGATTGAGCGGAGGAAGATACCCACGCCACGCACGCATATGTTTGATATATGATACTTTTCTTCTTTTTCTTTTTCCATCTACTTTTTTTGTTATATTAATACATTCTCTTCATTTTTCTCATTTGTTTTCTTTTCATATAGAATACCTAGGTGGGCAGCGAGGCGTTAGGGGCGTATTGAATGTATTGATCGATCGAAATGGCGGCGCATGGTGGGCGGGCTAGCTGCGAAATGATATGATATCACGGTTGTATTATAATGGAGGGATAGGCTAATTAACTTTTAAATTTTAAATCTTCGACTTCTTTTGCTAATGGGGCCAGATTTTCTGGGCTAAGCATAAATATATTCTCCTTTTAAGCCTTGAAAGTCTGAGGCCTAAATATCCTAGGAAATCTAAGGGCAAACCCGGGATCCTTCCGGTATCCTACCCGACCCGTTAAACCCCCCTACGGGTGTTACCCGCTGAAGCTTTACGCGGGTATCCTGTGGTATACCCTACCCGATGCCCAGCTCTGGTAGCACTTGTAGTGAAGGTTTTCCAGGCTGGTAATATCGTCACGCAAATATAACCTCTGTAGGCATGTATAGACTTTATGTGTAGCTAGGATTCCCAACCAAACTCCTATACGTTGAATGCAATCGTTCTGAGAACTTTAACACTCCCAAGTCTTCTTCTCCTTGGAACAGCTTTTGAAACAAGCTCCCTCTGAACCAATCCGCATTGCCTTTATAGGCATTGTCCAGAATATCGCATCCATATTGAATACATTCCATCAGCTTTGGGCTTTTAGACCATTCGGTACGACATGGCCAGATGATGAGATGCACGCCGCAGTAAAGCATCGTATCGAAAGCATCCTGGGTCTCGATTGATCCGTATGCCTCCAAGAACGATTCAATAATAAGCGGGACTGACGCGGAGTCCTCGAAGAAATAAAGAATGTATAGCTCGGCAAGCATAGTCCCCAGGTCGATCACGATAGATGAAATATGGCAGAGTTCCCAGTCAAGCATAAAGATCAATTGCTTGCTGTCTGAATCGATATCATCAGATTTAGGATCGTCGCCGACTTCATTTTTCTCAATGCTCTTTGCCGAGCTTGCGAACACCAAGCTAAAATCTAATCAGGATTGAATAAGAGATACGTATAGGACATAATTACTTCCCGGGCCAGAAGTCCCCATGAACGATCCCAACGTCAGCATCTGGATGGGTGATGGCCGTTATCCGCTGGCTCACGAGTTGGAATAGAGCCTTTTTATTACCAAGCACGAGAGGAAATTTCGCTATGGTCGCGTCGAGCCGTCCGCAAGATAAACGGTACTTGAATACACCAGCTTCTGTGTATCTGCCGAGGACCCTTCGCAGACCTTCTTGGTCTGGGTGCCGGCCCCACCGGTGGAACTTCGCAGCCCAGGCGCCTATCACTCTCCCGTACGCATCTGCAAAAGCAGGCTCGAAAGATCCATCGAGCAGATGGGCTTTCAGAGTTGCGGTATTAGGAAGATCCTCAAGGATCTGGATGTAGAGGCCAGGGAAGTAATGTAGGATTTCTGGAACCCGAACTAGGATAGAAGGTGACCCATCACAGGCTTCCTCGCTGCAGGCAGATGGTATCTGGTAGGAAAGCATTTGATTCTCGTAGTACTAAAGATTTGAAGGGCTGTATCAGCCAAAACTTTACCGTTGACGGCTGCGAAATGGATAATATTGTGAACAGGGAAACGCTCACACTGCGGGTCTTGTGTAGAGTGAACTCCTCGCCCGTCGTTTTCTCCACCTTCAGCTTGTCTTCCGTCATTTTTATTACGACCGTCTCTCCATGACCTTCGTTTGGAGTTGCAAGCCTATTGCGAAAAGTGAAGTTGATAAACCCTCCAGGCAAGCGCTCAAGGCCCTGGCAGACATAACTTGTACCTTGGAGGGCATCTTTAACAAAATTCTCAGCAACTTGCCATTGGGAATCGGTGTGAACCATGTTCTTAACTATCGTAGAATATCAATCGAAGTTGGATTTTGTTTTTTGGGGTTGAAGTTGTCCGGATGCCCAGATGCGCTGCATATAAGTTTAGGCTCGTTCAGGCATCGGGCGTCCATCGCAGCGATTTTCAGCCCATGTAGCCTCGGTGGCTTAGGTCAGTCCGTCGGAGCTGCTGCGTAGGTCCATGTGACCCTGGTCCCTCGATAAGGCATTGGCCGCATAGTTATTCGCGTGCCTAGCGATTTCTTTTTATACTACAATACTCAGGTTGAACCTGTCTATGCAACCGTATAACTTACTGGTATTAAAAAGCGGTTTTTTGATAGCAGGGACCGCTCTTATTATCAAATCACAATGTTCTCTAGGGGAGAAGACGAGGGGAGTAATCCAATTTGTATATTACAGTCACGTGTAATAGCACAAATTCCAATAGCTTCACAATCAGCAGGGCAAACATGTCCAATTTATTAGGTAATAAAACAGGGCTTCATATGCTACATATCAGTGGATAAGAAAGCAGAAAGTGCAAGCTAGAGCATTTGATATGAGCATCTGTACAAAGAGTGCATGGAGACCCCACCTATATACAGTCGAAGGTGCTGAATAACCACTTTGTAAACTTAGCCCAGGATCGCAGACGTATCTAGCTCTCTTTTATTGAAGGGTAAATTCAACCTATTCAGTTCAATATCCAGCCGGTTCCGGTTTGACCGGAAAGGTAGGATCATTCAAGTTGCTCCTGCAATCTTTCTTCCAGTGCAGTGGCGTGAATTTATCGACAATGCCTTTGAATGCTTCGAGGGTGCAGAAGCTCTCATTGCCATCAAGATGCTTCCCGGGAGCTTTGCAGCCAGGAATCGAGACGGACTGGTCGTTATATAGTATGCGTACATAGTAACCATCTAGTTTGGACCGCGCCGAGGGCTGCAAGGAATCGATTTTTTTTCGACCAATTGAAGGAGCTTTTTTAACAATTTCTTCCTTGTCGGTGTCTTTGCTTGGTAGAAAAGGTTGGCGGAGCCCGTCGTTACTTCTGATATGCGGTGCTGATCCACCTGGGGAGGGGATTCTGTCCGCCTTCCATGCTGCGGATACGGGTTCTTCAGCCTTCCGAAACAACTCGAGAGAAACATGGCTGGTGTATTGCGGCCAAGTCTCAAGCTTTAAGGCTCCAAGACTTGTTAAGATAGCCGCTAATGTGGTGTCGTGACAGCCACTTAATCCCAGCTTGACAGTAGCGTTCGGGCGGTTGATGCTTGCTGAAGTCCCATCTAAACTTTTGATTTGACCAGAATTTTCCTTGCTATTCTTTTCAACGCTCAGGATCATTCGTGATACAACGTCGCCCAGGAGAGAACCAATTCCAAGCGCCCGATACTCTTGAGATTCGTCATAGCCACTGAACCATTCCTCTATCACTAGTCGGTTAATGATAGCCATGCCTTTCTTGTCATAAAACTCATTCGGCAATTTTGTCCCCGATCCATGAGCGAGGGTCGAATTGATAGTGTCCAATATCCCAGAAAGACGTGGTTGCGAGTCTATAGCCACTCTCTCGCCATCTTCCGGCATCCATTTACCAATCAAATCATTGACATAATCCATCTCCGTCGATGTATTCCATCTCTCAGCACTCCTCCGCGAGAATGCCCGAGCCAATTGAGCGAACCTCTTACAATAGCCATTGCTTGGGGTAAGTGTCTCATCGGTACGTGCACGTAGAATGATTGCGGGAGGAGGAAAGATTCTCGATCTAGAGTGTGGAGGGTACATGGCCCCGAAGGTTTCTTGTAAGGACTCAATAGCCCGAGGTATGCGAGTAGCTCGAAGATATACTATCTCTGGATCACTTATTGTAGATGGCAGAAACCACAGTTGATCAATGTATAGACTTCGGAGATATGCGCCTAGTGCTTGTGAGCTCCTCCTTCCCTGGTCTGTTAGCTCTCCGTGGTTGCACATTCCTTCAATCTCTCCTCGAGGACCTGACACAAGCACAGGGTTATCGTGGGAGTCAAATGTTTCAAGATGTCGTCTCCACTGAGAATGACTCCAGGTTGAAGAATTATCACTCATTGTAACACTGACTAGCTGCTTCGCAGCGGAGCAGTACGGCCAGAAAGCAGCTAGACCTGTGTTTTCAAAACGGGCGGAGGTAGGAGCTCGCTCGCCATGGCGCAAGAGGATTTGAACCTGCTCTAGCTTTAGATTACTGGGATATAAATTTCGCAATTCTTTCTCCGAATAGTGCGCACGAGGAGGAGACGGAGCCATAATCGTCGGTATGATGTTAAATGTCAAATCATACTGTTTTGTGTTTGGTGTGAGATTGAGGTTGGAAGCCTTACAATGGTTAGGGTGTGAGCTAAGCTTAATTAGGAAAGGCGGCTTTTAGGTAGGAGGGAAATGGAGGCTGGTGATTGGTTGTTAGAGTAGTTACAGTGTGCTACTAGTAAAGCCATTAATCCTCTGATATCTACGAAGTATTAGAATTTGCTATTCAGGTCCTGAATCCTGGTGCTTATGTACCTGAGCATTCAAGAATCAAGACTATACCTGGGTCGGGACGGGCCGGTCTGAATCATCTGACACGTGGGGAATAAGTGGGTTATCCCCTAAAGAAAGGGTCTGATTCATGAGATAAGTGCGGATTGAAGAAGCTTTGCGCAAAACCTTTCATGGCGCATACGGGGTAATATGGAGTAGCGATTAAGCAGAACAGAAAGCCTAGGGCTTCCCAGATGCTACGATGACGGTCTGTCCATCTTCATATGCTTCAGACACGACAGCGCTGCTTTGCAAGTCCTCACTGTTAGCAGTGAGCTGTTCCGTGCCCCAACCAACTAAATCCTTCTTACTGTCCGTCCCTTCATCGGTGCTAAAGAGTGCCCCCTTGACGTACTCCTTTTGCCTCTTTACGTTACCATCTCCACTGAGCCGAATCTTTACCACACGATACGCAAAAACGTAATCAGAGCCGTTATCGAATTTCACCCCACGCTCCTTCGTACTCTTTGACTCAACCATAAGCGTATTACTAGTGACCGAAGCCCCGCGTGCTATCTTGACGCCCGTAACCATATAGATGGGCTTCTTGTATCTGGTCGCTGATATATAGGCGATGACGCCCTCTGCTTTCAGACTATTCTCGATATATGCCGCGTCCGGTTCGAATAACTTTGTCTCCAACTGACGGAACTTATAAACGTCATTCTTTTGCTTCACAGGATCAAAGCCCAAGATCATCTGCAAGAAGCTAGCCCACAGTGTGACCTTGTTGTGTCTTGCGGTTTTGATGACACCTTCCCAGTCGTCCTCAAACGATTCTTGTAGGTCGTTTGCGGGTACTGCTACCCGCTGGTTATCTCGACGGTTGAGAGACTTCTGTGGAGTCGTCGGATGGACGATGATGCTCCCCAAGGCAATGAGGCCGTCGGCTGGGAAGTCGCAGCTGGGCGCCAGGAAATAGGTAAGCGTAGAAGGTATTGAAGGCATGACGCGCGATGTAGAATGGCTGGCGGATTTAACTTTCTAATATTGATGTTGCTTGAACAGACTTGGTCGCAAATTGGCTTCCCCGAAAAGCCGGACAGCGATTTGTCACGAGCAGAAGTATACCGCGGGACTTTAAGCGCCGCCCCCGCCACTGCAAGGCATGCAATAGTGTTGAAGTTGCGAGAGAATGGCCGGATGACCCTTTATCAAAGAAGGGGACAAATCTTCTGCCTTGGTATCCAAGAAATATAAGTGCCTCGGAAGAATCGATAGAAGTGGTTTTTTGAAAGATTATTCAATCATGCATTTTGAGACGATCAGGCTTGGGTAAGGACCAAGTCTTAAATAATCACCACACCACACCCTCGAACTGTCTAGCCCCCAAACTGGCTTACTGCTCCAAGTTTAGAAGATAAATTCGAGCCAGTCAATAAAGGTTGCTCCCGTCAGGCTGAAACCCATCAAGGCCGGGCGTCAGCTACTCTACTCGGGCGCGTATTTAGGCGATTCTGTGGTGCACCATCGTCTTGGACTCTAATTATGGAACAGTAGGCTGCAGGGGCTTATCGTTTGTTTGTTTGTTTGTTTTATTTATAGTCCAATCCAGGCCAAAGGCCAAAGGCCCATGCGGCGTCTATATCAGAATTAGAGGTTTAAACCGTCTAATTAGGAGCTCCCTTAAGCTGAAGTCTCTCCTTTTGCTTCTAAGGTGAGAACGCATCACCTAGAAGCAGCCGGGAGTGAAGTTAGGTGACAGTTTATATAAAATGCTAGCTTATATCTTTTCCTTTCCTTTCCTTCCTCCTTTATGCACCTCGACCTCCCTAGCATACTAAGATGCTAGCTTGCATAGGCTTTATAAAAGAGGCTAGGAAATCACACGTCCTCTTCCTTACTCTCGCTTTCCCTGCCTTAGCATTCGCTCTCCTGCCCAGTCTATAAATAGGGTCCAGGGCTCCTGTTTCCCCCGCTTATCCACCTAGCAAATTGTATAAGCTTAAAGTGTGTAAGATGTTCTATTATGCTCTAGTCTCTTTGCGGAGATTATTCTATAGTAGGCTCTAAACTAGTTGTCTTTCCCTAGCAGGGCCTGATTAAGAGATAGTCCTTGAAAGCTAGCTTCTTCTGCTACACGACTCCTCGAGGCCTTACTACTACTAATAACTATAAATAGCTGAGTAGAGGCATTTTGGGGGAAACCAGAAACTATCATCGCCCGTTCCAAGAGCTGACCTAAATAGGTGAAATTCAAGTAATACAAGCCAGTCAGTTCAGTCGACATCAACCCTGGGTTGGCTGAACTGTTATCTGTTGATGCGCCAAGATTCTCCGACTCGTTTCCCGCCAAAAAATGGTTTGAAGACTTGCGGAACTTTGTCTTTCCTCTCATCCCGGATGAGCCTGGGCGGAAGACTAGAATCGCCATTCTCGACAGCGGAATTGATCTCCCTCTCGAAGTCCAATACGCGCTCGAAGATCGACTCACCTATCGAATCTGGATAGAAGGAGATGACACCACCGGGACAGATACAATTGGTCACGGAACGCATGTTGCGGGTCTACTACTCAGCGTGTCATCTCATGCAGAAGTATTCGTTGCACGGATCACTCAGAACGGTGAACTCAATCCCAACATCATCGCTGAAGTAGGGAATCCTAGATAGAACTTCCCATCTAAAAAGACATAGTTATACTGACGTGACTGCAGGCCATTGAGTACACTACAGATGATTGGAAAGTAGATATCACTATGTCTTTTGGCTTTCCGGAACTCGACCCTATCATTGACATTACACTTACCTATGCTGCCGCAAAGAACACCATCCTCCTCGCAGCAACGTCCAACTCCGGGAATCGACACTCTATAGCGTGGCCAGTGCGGGCTGAGCAAGTCATTTGTATTCATTCTTTGCACGGCAATGGTGATCATTCCCCATACACACCGAACTCACGCCCGCAGGACTACGGCATCTTAGGTCAAGCAGTCTTATCCTACTCACCACCTCGCCTCATGGCCTGAATCTCTGTAATACGATCCGACACTTCCTGCGCAGCTCCCATCGCAGCTGGCGTAGCTGCTATCGTGCTCGAGTATGCGCAACCGAAGCTGCCGCTATATGCACGGGCTGGATGAAAGGTAGATGAGCATGTGATACGGAGATTGAGAAGTAATGCGGGAATGAGGAAGATTTTTGGAGTCATGGCAGAGACCCGGGATGGTCATAACTGTATGATTCCTTGGTCGTTGTTGAGTTGTCAGCGGCGGGAGAACACTATGTGCGATATCATACTAGAGAAATTGAAGGATATGTAAGAGTTCAAGTGAGAAACAGTCGCCTCAATAAGCATAAGGTTTATTAAGGTCAATACTAATTCAGATGTGTCCCAAGTAATTGTTCGCCTATACGTTGGCTTTCACGATTCTAACTGTGTAACGAGTGCAGGCACTGTTCTACTCTATAGAGCATTTTACCGAAATCCTCCCCCCTACAATTTCCACTCACTTTTCACTTGGTTTGGCGTATTCTATTGAGATACTCAAGCGCAGGTTGCACCAAAGAGGCTATTAACATTACGTTGCGTGTCAAAAGCCATATCTCACACCTGTAGAAGTTACGGTACGGTCCCACTTATCTTGATAAGCTCGTAATAATATAGATATTTGCCGGAGCTAGTATATCAAGCCCCCATTTCATTTTTGGCTAGCATTCTACTAGTAAATATAACCCTTAGAGGCTATTTTATATTAGGATGGGCTAGCGTGGTTACAGCCCTAGAAAAGGCGGTCGAGCATATATCATAATACATTATAAATTGGGATTTTTAAAAACACTACCTTTTATGCGAGAGGCTATACTTCGTATACTAATAGTAGAGAGAATATAATATAAATAAGAGAATGCATAGAAAAATAGTCTAGCTAACCTTTAAGTCTATCACGGAGGTATTATGATTAGTAGTTATAATATAATAATTAAGTGATTATAAAAATAAAAATCGATTTTTTAACCACTTCACTAAAATAGCGACCGAATAGTCTCAGAGGCTTCGCAGAGACCACAACGCCTGTCTTCCACCTGCACCTAAATTGTCTGGAGCAACAATATTCATCGATAACGTTCAGGAAATTCTAAGCAAAGTAGCTGCCCTGCTCTGAAATACCTTTGTCAATAAACAACTGAAGTGGCCGCATTAGAGACTATAGGTTGCTTCTTCCACTGTCGTATTACCCCCGAGAAACGCCCACAGAAGCCAAATGGAGACCCAAGAATCGCACCCAATAAAGACAAAAACAACGGTATCTCTCGCGGAAGAATGCATTATTTTCTTGGGCATCTCTTCTGAATACAAACCGCCGCAATGGACAGAAGCCCAGCTCTCATGCTTGAAGAATTGGTGTGCCAGCTTAGGCGTTTTTGGAAATGGACATGCTTCGATTGATTACCGTTTGCGCAATCATCCCAATGTCCTCAATCTTGTCACTCGACAGCTGGACGTATTAAGAGTCAACCTCGAGAAGCGTATGTATTCCTAGCAATAACTTTAACTCTTGTAACTGATGAGAGCCTCATGGTAAATATCTCAGTGTCTGAGCCAGTGCAGTGTCAGCTGCAAGAAAGAGTGACGAGTGGATCGGAAATTTTTGATATTGATGGGGAAGAATTTGTGTATCAGTCTCCTACTTCGGAAGCTTCGTTCTCGTCTGCCGACTTTGATATGGAGAACAAGGGCTACCGGAAGACGAAGATGTCTGAGGGACTTCAAATCGTGGAAGAAACAATTGCAAGACTGAATGCTTTGTCCAGACTGGCCCATTAGTTAGTCAGTCAGTCATCAGTTGAGGCCAAGGGAGCAGCCCAGCGTAAGAAATAATTTGATTTGATTTGATTGAGCTATCTAATAAAATTAAATTAGAGTAGAATTAAAGCTAATCAAATCAAATGAGACCTAATCTAATTATACTCTGATTATAATTAATTCAGAAGGCACGTGATAAGATCTAAAGAGACTATACCTCTTTTAGATAGTGCTAGGCTAGGGTATAACTAAAAATTAGCGAAGAATAGCTAAGGCGTTAACCTCTGAGAATCTCCATCGGGTTGCGCGAGTAGATTCTACCTGAGAATTTGATGATGATAAGAGTATCTAAAGAGCAAGCAGCTACACGAGATAGCAGTAAAGACACAGAAAGCGATCTGCCGGCCTCATTGGGCCAAAGGTAGTTCGGGGCTGTTGGAAGGTGACCGAAGGAAAAGGCTGAGGTATCGTATCGCAAATAGTCTATTTGGATGTAAGCCTCTCTATCGGTTTCGGGGTCTATTAGTTATTTTATGAAGAACAATAATATGCTACATTCCTCGGATTTTCATATATAAAACACCCATCTAATCCTCCACCTAAAACATCTCTTCACGCCTCACCCTAGTTCATAAAAGGGGGAGGCGACACGTGACGCTCCCCTCTTCTTTCCATACCTTCCTTTCCGTTGCCCACAATCGCTTAACACCTTAGCACATGCCCCAAGCCCCGAAACAAAAAGGGGGGGCATCGACTCCCTCTACAAGAATTGTAGCGTAGTCAAAGTAGAGACAAACCATCAAATTTCTAAGCAAGCCGCCCCACAGCGGAACACCAGACCGCCGATTAATAATTCTCACCTCATGCAAAGCACGGTTATTTGGTTCATTCGTGAGTTGATCTGATCCGCCGTGTCGTCGGTTGGAATAAATAGTATCATAATGTTGCTAAGCAAGCTATAAGTGATGGATGGCGTTTTCTTTTATGGGATGGGTCAATTAATTGACTAGGTTGTACCGAGACCGAGTAATGTGGGTTCAATTAAGCTTCGAGGCTAGCGGTCGTATAGTTGAACCGAAACGGGAATGGGGTTCATCCGGATGAAAGCCATGGTGGGGAGATGAGACCCAATGACTTTAGGTATGTCGGGTTTGAGGGAGTGAGGTAGTGAGGTAGTGGTCGTACCTGATCAGTCTATGTGGCTTGATATGAGTCGATATAACGGAATTTCGCGCTTAGTCGGCAGTCTTGTATTACTTACTATATGAGGTAGACGAATCGATGCTGGGGTAACTAGTAACCTCTTCGACAATACTATACGGCGTACGAAGTATGAAGTTGGAAACTCGCATGTTCGGGCTGCATCCTGTATTGAGTGTCCGCGATATTGATTCCGCAGTGGATCTGCGTATAGGGTACTTTGGCATGGTTGAGTAGGAGTATAAAACAGACATTATCCTCCTATATAAGTGGCATTACTAGACACCACACCTCTATTGAAAGATCCCACTTCTCTCTCATAACTTCAAGATGTCACCATCAGCATTGCCCAAGTCTCCTCCGGATCTTCATATCCCAAAGAGTTCCTCAACCGTAACAGTCAAACTAATCGACAGGTATATATCCCCCCTCCTCCCTCCTCCCTCCTCCTCCCCCACACCTCTTCCCTGCCTACCAACTCCCAAAACTAACCCCCAAGCCCAGCACGGCCATCCTCACCATCCCCATGCACACTATGCTCAAGCCCTCCTACACTGCCCATGAGCTCCTCTATGCACCGTGCCTCGTCTTCCTAATCGAGCACGCATCGGGCCGTAAGCTGCTCTTCGACTTAGGCATGCGCAAAGACTGGGAAAATCTAGCCCCTGCCTTCACGGCCACGATCGAAGCCGCGGGACCAGGTGTCACGATCGATATTAAGAAAGATGTCGCTGAGATCCTCCAGGAGAATAATGTTGATGTGAAGGGCGGTGCAATCGAGGGGATCATCTGGAGCCATTGGCATACCGATCACACGGGGAATCCTGCACTCTTCCCTTCCAGCACATCCATCATTGTCGGTCATGGCTTCAAGGAAAACTTCATGCCCGGGTATCCCACTAATCCTGCTGCGCCTCTGCTCGACACTGACTTCGATGGGAGGGACGTAAATGAAGTTACCTTCTCGAATTTGGAGATTGGTGGTTTCCGCGCCAATGACTTTTTCGGCGATGGGAGTTTCTATATCCTCGACTGTCCAGGCCACACCATCGGCCATATCTGTGCATTGGCCCGAGTCACGGAAGATACTTTCATCTTCCTGGGCGCCGACGCATGTCACCATGGAGGCGAATTCCGCCCAACTGAGTACCTGCCCTTACCCGAGAAAATCAATCTCGGTCCCCTACACAACCACGCAGCGATGCATTTCTGTCCAGGATCCATGTTTGAGAAGCTCTCTCCAACTCCGAACAAGCCGTTCTATCGCACAAACGAGGTATTTGCGTATGATAGGGTGAAAGCGGACGAGACGATTGAGAAATTGGAGGTCTTTGATGCTGTGGATAATGTGTGGGTTGTTATTGCGCATGATCCGAGTCTGTTGGAGCCAGGAATGGGAGTCGATTTGTTTCCTTCTGGGAGTGTTAATGGGTGGAAAGAGAAGGGACTGGCTGAGAAGACGAGGTGGAGATTTCTGAAGGATTTCGAGAAGGCCGCTGAGGCTGCTGTGTGAAGAATGGTTTTCTTGTGTGGTTAAGATTTTGAGTCGAGATGTGAATGGGAAAATGAACCCCTCTTAACTACTGAAACGTAGGATATGTCGGCTTTCCCCATCAACTGTGCCAATAAGCTGCTTCATTGCAGCCGCTTCACTGTGAATAGGGCCAGAACATTTCGAAATAGAAGTCTCTACCGTGCTCAGTCCCTTCCTCGCAGCTCTTCTTGGCAAATATGTTGCCTGTAAGCAACAAGGCATTGTATTCATTTTGCAATCCTAAGAATTGATATCGATTCTCCTGAAAAGAAAACGTTTCGTTATAGTGATTTCTTCGGCCGCTTGTGGAGCATAGAGCTTGCTCATCATTGCGACTTGATGTGAATGGCTGTCTTCACGGGGATGCCTCCTGCACTAAGAAATTCGAAGACCTCTTCAGCACCTTCCCGTATTGCCAGCATCAATACCCACTCCTAAAAGACGGCGAACCATGTTCGAAAACATAGCTCGTATAGCGATGAACAACGGCATCCCATCACCCCACGTGGGGCCTAACTGGCGCAGCTCTTTCGGCATCTCCAACATTCTCTCAACGAGCAGAAAAGCCATCACATCTTTCCTACCACGGATAGCCATATCCAGAGGCGTCAAGCTCGGAAAATTACGTTGTGCATCTACAGATGAAACGGCAGAGGCAGAGGCAGAGTACCCACCGGACTGGGCGAACATATCTGCACCCTTTGCGAGCAGCGCTTCCACTATACCGACGCAATGCTTGCTTCGCGCTGCGTAGTGCAGAGGTGTCATTCCCGCGTTGAAGCTAGAGGGGTCATGTGCAAGGTTGACTGTCGTCCCATCCGCATCAGCGTCCAGCAATAAGGACGCTACGTCCGCGTGGTCTTCAGAGATAGCTAGAGACAACGCAGTCAAGCCCCCATGGTTCCGCGCAATAACATCAGCGCCCGCATCGAGTAACAGCTGCACAGTGCCTAGCAAGCCAGCTTCGGCGGCGAAATGCAGAGGCGTGTTATCACGCTGGCCACGCGTCTGGATATCAACACCTCGATCGAGTAAGATCTTGAGCAGCCGGCGATTTCCAGCCCTTGTGATGAGTTCTAAAAGATTCATGCCAGATCTGGAAGTGGGTTGGGCGATGAACTGTACACGGGTAATCCACTGCAGCGGGATGGTGTTCGCGAAATAGGCCAGGATGTATTCAGAGCCCCAATGTTTGGCTGGCCCGTGAAGTTTTTGGGCAGCCACTGTGTAGGACCATAATGCACGATTGCTCGTGTGATTATAACAGCCGTAGACTTCATCTGGGCAGAAGGATTTGTGGTAAAGGAGAGGAGTGAGGCATGTTGCGAGGCGTTTGCAGGATCGGATGAGAGAATTGAGGTCGTCGCATTTGGAGAGATACTTTGATATTTCATAAATGAGCTCGGATGGCAGTTCGTCGAACGGTATTTTTGCCATGATTATCCAGGATCAGAAGATAATTGATGTGGTGGGGATTTTTGGTGTTGTGGTTCGTTCCATTTTTGAGGACGTTATCAATCAGAAAATTAATGCGGCCGGCCTATGCATGCAACCCAAACAGCAAGCATGACCACGATTGCTACTATAGCCCCTCAGAACCTCCCCGTTATATAATGAATGGGCCCGAGCAAAGAATTACAATACTTGTAGTATCTTCCGATAGTTATTAAAGTACTGGTGATATAAGAACGAACGAATGCGGTGCAGATGCGGCTTAGAACGTGGGGATAGCGCGCTGAAATGAAGTAAGCTAGCCTCTTGTCACGCAATTTACCTCTTACCTAGTATGGCTCGGCTAATAGATAGGGGCTGATGGGAGGAGAAGTGTTATTATGATTCCCTTCAGTGAGAATTAAAATATGTTAAAGACAACAAATCGTCCCACCGTCAAGACACAGTTGCTCAGGCAATGGTGGACTCATAAATGTCATTTCAAAAAATTAATGTATTATCATATCGTGTAACTTTTTTATCCGAATCCGAACGCCAGAGCTGTGATGCTATCTAATCTCGCTGAACGCTTGTATATGCTTCTTTTGGTACAACATACTGTAAAATGATCAAACATCCTCCTTCGGCAGCACTTCTCCGCTCTTTTCCCTCCCCTCCCTCTTCATCGCCTCTTTCTTTCCCCGCTTCGCATCTCTCGACAAGCCTCTGTTGACTTTCGCTTCCTTGCGTTTCGCTTCTTCTTCCGCCAAGCCTGTCTTGACGACCTGGTGTTCTTTGCTCATCGTCCGTTTGGTGATGAGGAGGCTGACAAGCAAGCCGAAGCCGGCGAAAGCAACTGTGTGGGTTATTAGCTAGGGGTTTCAAGGAAGGTAGCGTATCACTTACCAAACATAATCCACATCGTCCTCAAAGACTGAAAGAAAGCGTGCCTAGCAATGACTCTCTGCGCCGGCGGAAGCTGAGTCACGATACCGACACTCGCGCCGGCCGAACCACCAGAAAGTACACCAGCGAGCTCAGGGCCAAGCGAAGCGACTAATGAAGCGGATTGGTTTTGCATTTCGTTCTGAAAAACGACACTACCAATGACGACCCCAATAGCGGTGGCCAAGCTGCGAACGAATCCAAAAGTCGCAGTCGCAGTCGCGATATCTCGTGGTGCAACGAAGTTCTGAAGCGCAATCAAGGGGGCTTGGAAATTTGGGCCAACACCAATTCCTGCTACGATTTGGAAGAGGATGATCTTTGGCCAGTTGGCCGTTGAGTCTAGGTCGATGAAGAGGCCCCACCCGATGACCATGATCGTCATGCCGAACCAAATTGGTGGAAGATAATTACCGGTTGCCTTCATGAAGAGTCCAGTAGCTACTGATGTGAAGGATAGGGAAAGTGCAAAGGCCAGGGTATACACGCCGGAGAGGAGGGGTGTGGCGCCAATGACAGCTTGGAAGTAAAGGGGCAGGTAGTAGGATCCGGAAATGAAGACGATACCATGACAGAAACAGGTCCCTAGGGCGGCAATTGCAGATCGATGTTTGAACATACCTAGTTGGAAATCAGAATTTGCTCTGGGTAGAAATTAAAGCGGGACTTACGAAGAGGCATAATGGGGTAGCGAGCGAACTTCCATTCGTTGAGAATGAAAAGACTTGCAACAAAAACTCCAAATATGATCAGGCAGATGACTGTGACGGAGTCCCACGAGAATGAGACACCACCGAATTCTAGACCGAGAAGTAACATCAAGGTACCACCAACGATTGTCAAGCTTCCCAGCCAATCAACGGCCTTGAGACCGTCCCAAACAGGCGTTTTAGGATTGTCGAGATGCAAGAATATGCAGAGTAGGATGAACACAGTTCCAGTAATAGGTACTAGCTCCGTCAGATATAGCACAACGGAAATCTTGTGTTCACTTACGATTGATATAAAAACACCATCTCCACGAGACCTTTTCAGTGAAAACTCCTCCCAATATCGGTCCCACGGCTGAAGCAAAAGCCCAAGTCATGCCTACAAGACCAAAATACTTGCCCCGATTCCGCATGCTAAACAAGTCGGAGATGCAAATATTGACTAGAACAATCAGACCCCCTCCGCCAATTCCTTGAATTGCTCGGGATGCAATCAGCATTCCGATGTTGATGCTGGTGGCGCATAGTACGCTCCCGATGAAGAATATGCCTGCTGCTACGAGTAATATAGGTTTCCGTCCCCAGATGTCACTGATCTTCCCCCATGACGGTGTGCTAGCTGCGTTTGCGAGCAGATAGGCGGAACCAATCCAGGTATAACCAGCGTTCGAGTGGAAGTATTCGCTGATTGTTGGGAGGGCGGTTGTGACGATTGTTGTATCGAGGGCTCTGCAGAATTCTGTTAGTATGATGTGCAATCTCCAGACCGAATATATTGAGAACTTACGCAAGAAATACAGAAGAACAGAGTGAGATCATAATAATAGCAGTCTGCAACGATGTGCGCGAAGCCTCTGGATCCCCACCAGAAGTTCCCTCTTTCGCGGCTGGAGCTGCGGTCTCGTTGACACTGGCGGCTGATCCATTGAGGGTTTCGTTCGCGGATTCGGACGAGGATACTACTGGCGCTGCGATATTCTCTTCCGTCTGTCCCTCCATTGTTGCCCCTCTGTCGCCGTCTCTGTCTCCATTTGCAGGACCCGCCACGGCCTCAGGTCCAGCCTCGTTGCGAATTTGCTTGTCCATCGCTATTGTCGTAAAGCTGCGTGTTATGAAGATGAAAAGAGCATGTTTCTACGACGGAGGAAGTCTCTCCTCCTTATAGAGAAACTTTTCTTTTCCCAAATTATCCCCAGAGTCATGACGGCGTTGAACTCCGTAGCAGTCGATGTCGCTTTGAACCTAGTTTAGGGGTGGGATGGGAAAGAAAACACGGGATCGGAACCTCGGCCAATCAGAGCGCCACAATGGCTACTTTCAGGCTAGATGTACAGGGGTATCGGCATCGGATCTGCCAACTTTCTGCTTGCAAATTTCTGCCCGGGCCCGAAGACCGAGTGAGTGAGAGACGATTCGGCCTTTTCTCTTACAAATCAGTTCCTCCCACCCAGCTAGATGGAGAAGACCGCTGGCTGGTGAAAGGAAAGAAAATGTTTTCCAACTACATTTAGTTACCGAGTACATGATTTGGCTAGCGTCACGTTATACCTTACCTACCTAGGTAACTTTCGCAGACCACGGCACGGTCCCTAGCGTTAACAAAGCAAGTGTTTTTATATCTTCTTTGAAATTTACGCATTACAATTGCAATATCTTAAACTCGGACCCTCCTAGCCTTGCCTTCTAGGCATTGTAATTAGCCGTATTGTACGAATGCCATTTCAAAACTGCTTTCTAAAAGGTCTAGGCCTCCCGGGCCTTGCCTTGCTACTACTACCCCTCGGCCTCGCGTGTTGACCTTCTAGTGTCCGAAGCTAGCTCAGGAGTATTGTGCCTAAAACCTACTTTGCTGCTTACCTACCTTAGGTACCTACTCTGAGTTACAGGGTCCAATGCACCTTCTGTCTGCTTCAGGATCTGTAACAGGAAATGTTATTTACAGTAGTGTTATATGAGCAATAGCATCCTTATTAACTAGGTATAGTCGAGAAAAAAGCTCTTTATGTTATAGAAATCTCTTCGCTAGCGTTGTTACGGTTCCACATGCTATGTCCCGCAATAGATAGTAGCTTTTCAAGCATGGTAAGACCAGCGTACGTAGTCGAGGTCGGTATAAGAATATAATTTGGGGAGGTGTCAGCTTAGAATAATCGAATGGCGCTGAATTGTGATGAAGGAAATTAGATTAGCGGTTATGGGGTTGCTATTAGTGCGAGATTGTTAACGGTGTTGTACTAAAGCGGGGGTCTTACTGTGTTTGCGGGGCAAGTCCCGATCTCTCTGTTACAAGTATGACCATGACGTTGTTGTATTCAACGGATAGTTCTAACGAAACGGAATTATCTTATCTCCTTCAAACTACTTATAAATATGGTTCACAAGCATTTATAACCCCTACGTGACCTAAACTTTCATAAATATCAAGCATTAAAGCTTATTAATGTTCCTTCTACACTTATTTTCAAAGCTCCAGAATAGTACACTAAAGTAATCCAGATGATCTCTTTGTGGAACACTTACTTTACTATAAGGTAATCTGTACCTACAAACCTTATGACTAGTACTGGTAACTACAATGCAGTGTTCATTAAACTAGGAAATCTATAGGAAGCTCTAAGAATATTAAGTATGCCTCCTCACCGCTGATTTGGAGTACCATCTGCGATGATACTCCTCGGGAAGACAGCAGACACTATAATCCCCGCCTTTACGAACTATGCGGTGTCTTGCGTAACAACTTTAGTGGTTTCACTATAGATGCAGTTGACCTTTATTAGCAGCTGAGCTTAACCATCATATATCAGTCTTATTATGAGCGGAAGACGAGTGTTATGGCTGCTAAATGCTGCTTGTACAACTAGGGAATATATGCAGTGCTCGCATCCTCTTCCAGTGTTGTAGTACCCAGCGCATTCCTAATTTGTCGAGCAGTATTCCAATAGGCCCCATTCCAGTCCTACATCCATAAAAAGATTTCTATAAAGAGGACTGCAATGTCCTTGTCCGGTCATCTTAGACGCTGAGTCTTCACAACAAATCAATCACACAAATCCTGATTCATATTCTACAAACCTCCTTCCAAGATGCAATTCCAAACCCTCCTCTTCCTCGCGGTCGCCGCAATGGCCTCCATCGTCGGTGCAAGCCCCTCCGCAGACGCACGCTGCGGTCCAGTCAATGGAAACTGCTATGAGAATGGCTGTGGTGGAGATAGGTCTACCCTCAGATGCAACTCTGTATGTCCTACCGATTTGATACATTCTACATCCGAGTATAAAATCCGTACCAGGTTATATCTAACAATAAGTACTTTACAGGGCCCCTACAAAGGCTGCAATTGTGGGTATGGGTGTGGTTCATCCGTTGGATCATGTGGTGGTAACAATTGCGACGGAGTCAATGGCCGCTGCACCGGCAATTACCTGGGATGTAGTTGCAACTGATCCGGTGTGAGGTATACTTGGGTGCATGGACATTTTAAAAGTTGGCAGATTAGTTTCAAAGAATCAAATTATGAAATAAGAGTTCCTGATATGCTTCGAATTCAGATGGCCATGAATTTTCTAAATCGATAGTGACTGATTACCTCGCATTTCAAAACGTCTTTGAGATCATACTTCAGATCTTAAATCACTTGTAGAATTTATTTTCATATTTTGATCTGCTCCACCCCGCTACCAAGAGCAAACCATCCCTACGGGTGTAAACGCTCTATCATAATATGATTTTTCGTGTTATAATAGGGAAAACTATATTATTCCCATATTATAATAGTGATTTTTATATTACTACTTGCTTGTTTTACTTTAAATCTCTCTATGATTACTTATTATATATTATATAAATGATATAAAAGTCTATATCTGAGAAATGATTAGAACCTTTTTAATTAGCTCTTACGTTCTATATCTAGCTCTGATTCATAATAATCAAGCAAGTACCGATACAATGGATTTTCTATCATCTTTCTCGTCTCTTTTAGGGGTTGCCGTTGGACCAGATGCCATACCGACTGAAAACATTGAACTTGAAGAATGGGAAGATTCATCGGCTTTAAGAGAGGGATACAGTGGAACAGAAGGTTTCAAATCTCCATCGACTTCAGCCATATAATGCTAATATGAGTTAGCAAATACAAAGCTCCATGAATGGACACACCTTTGGTGGATTGGTCCCACCAATCCAGCTTCGAAGAATAAGGATGGAGTACTGGTTTCTAACTCACCAGAAGTATATGGGTGGTATACATGTGCTGAGCTAGGAACAAAAGCAACAGAATCCTCAGACAACGTTAAAATTGAAAGTTGGAGCAACAATGCTGACAATTATTCGTGGTAAGCGGAATATGATTCTTTTACAACTTTCATAAAATCCGATTACTGGCCCTCGAACGGAAAGTTTAAAAAACCCGTTTCGGCGATATGAAAAGTAAATATGATGATAGTCGTGGGTGGAGGATGATTGCAGATTTCAGGATGTTATGATCGATTTGCAGGGCTCCGATCCGAGGATCCCATGAGTTAGATCTTGGTAGGAATTGAGATTGTGAACCAATCTAAGTCTTATACTTTATATAAAGCTTTTTAAGATGTCAAAATGATACAATTTCCACGGTGATGGTATTCGGCACCCTAAATTAACGAGCCTAATAATCAATTTAGATAATATTCAACCCGGCAACGTTAGTTTTCACTCGGGATAGGTTGTCTCTAACCCTCAGGTAATTATGGATAGGATTTAGGTAGAAAATGATGTTTAGAGGTAATATTACGAACTAAATAGAAAGACTGACATGGACGAAGGAGAATGTGATTGTGAATAAAATACTATAGTCTTTTAATCATCTCCAACAGTTCCATTCCAGCACCACTTCACTGTCTCATCAATTGTGATTTGGACGTCCTGAAGATCACTTAGCCCCCCTAAGACGCTCTTACTCACACCTTGTACTATCAATCGAGTAAGTCCAGGCCAACCAGCTTGCAAGATTGGCATCAAGATATCCCGAAACAGCTCATCTATGGGCGCAGTCGCCCCATGAAGCTGTAGTCCCGGCCGAAACCTAACTCCCCGGCTAGCCACGGTAGGCATTCCATTACAAGTCGAATCAGTGGCCCCGCCGTGTGCCAAAACTAGAGTTGGAGGACGAATAGCCTGGATAAATGCGGCCCATTCATGATAGACAGCATCTTCATAGGTGACGGGGCTTGGCCTTGTTTGAACAGGAAACTGTTGTCCTTGCTTGCGCAGAGATAAATACTGCAGGTGACGGCAGTGAAGTTTCAGTGAAGAATTCAACAACCGCCTCATATTCCCTGGTTTGACTTGTATCGGCAAGCAACCTTCAGGCCAATCCTCCTCGAAAGTGTTCAAATCTCTCCAACTGCGCACGAATCCGTCAACTTTAATACCCATGTGGAAATTCTCACCTGAAGCTAAGAGTCCACCCTCCTGAACATTGTTGAGAGAGAGGGAAGACAGGGGTGCTTTGTCGCTACCATGAAGAATTGCGGAGGCAAGTGCGTAGTGCATTTTCCCACCAAGTCGAATGTGCCGAGCATCTGGGAAAGCGAGGGGCGACGTGAGAGTGGTATTGAAGCTAGAGATTCGCTGTGCCACGGTCCCATATCAATATCGATGCTCGTGGCCCGGTCGAGCAAAGAGAACATTGCGTATACTTTTTCTGGAAGCCATATGACCCTCTCTCTGAACTCCGCCGGGAGGCACACTTCTGCACGCGAAAACCCAAGATTCCACGTGAAAGAACGGACAAGGCTCGCATACTGAGGCTCGCGCAGCATCAGATTTATGAATAGGTGTTGCTTAATTAAGATGTCCTTCCAATTTGCTGGTTGTCGCTTCGTAAGATATGGCTTGTCTACGATATAGACCGGCTCAAAGTAATGAATACTTAAATCGATTGTATGATACATGACTGGAATGCTAAGGTTGTAGAATCGTCTCGAAGTTTCGGATAATCTCTTGAGAGCGGATGCTGGGAGGTACTCAAGAATCGACAGGCAGAGCTCATCACTGAGCTCCCCAAGCGCGACTGGTCCATCCATAGCAACACGCTGCATTGAGCGATGCCCGAGTAGGATAAATCTGGTCGAGAAGAACTGTGCTTCCCGATGCTGCCCTCGTTTTCCGATCTATTTCTAGATTTTATTGGGGTCTATAGAAATAGAAAAGCCGGAGATAGATGTGTTCCTTTCAAGAGTTGGTTGGAAGAAATATCTAGTGATTCGGTCAGTAGAAATGAATGTGTATATAATACAACAGAAGGATCAAAACCAACAAAAGGATGCGAAGAAGAGGCGTAGTCGCAAAAGCTGTTGGTGTTGTTATAGTGGGGTACAGAAGAGGACCTGGCGGAATTTATAGGGTTTAAAGCCCCCACAGCCTCCCACATTACTCGAGTACGAGGTTGGCTGCTGGAGATCGCAGTCACTAACATTTACTATAGGGCCCGCAATTTTTCCAACACCCTCAATATGACGCTACTAATGGCTCTCTGCTCTCTTATTTGCTATTAATTCTTGGATAATATGCAGGTGTTTGAATGGTCGTTCCTTCGGACCTTCTCTCGGGACGCCAGTCCTTTGATATACCTCTGAGAGGCTAGTTTTCTCCATGTAGAGTCCAGAGTTATGGAGAGAGCTTTGCCCAAGTGGTGACATCTCCCACCCATAAGGATTCTGTATCAGAGGATCTCTTGCCGCCCTGGAAACTATGTACAAGTCCTCTTATTAGCTCCCCTCAATGTTTCAAGTAATTCAAGGCAGTAAGTATCATGAGGCGCAGCTGTTCTACTACGGGATGGTAAACGATCATCACACATATATCTTTCTCTCGATCCAGAGATTCTTGATGGTACCACTTAGAATTTTGATCCAGCTCAAGCTTCCATTGCAGCAATCTGTCTTGTCATCGAGCCCTGCCTTTTCAAGTATGATACTGTATTTTAAGCCCTACGTTACAGTTTTCCTTTTTGTTCTATGCCGACTTTACCTCCCAGAAGTTTTAATTAACACTAGCACCATGTTCGGAAGAATTCTCGTCGTCTTGTCCATACTCCTTACTCTTTCCGCAGGCATAATGCTCGAGCCAGAGAAACCATGGACTTCCTATATCTTAGACCAAAGCAAATACTCTGATGCTATCAAGGCTTTGATGTCAAAGTACCCGAATGGCAACACACCCGTCTTCTCATTTCCACCTACCAAAGCTCCAATTTCGGACATCACCTCCATCAGCTTTTATGCCACGGGCCCGCAAGATGAAACCGGTTATATTTGTTCAGAAGCGTAGCTAATATCCCAACAATGATTATGAGGATGGTTTGGGGTATATTAGGTAATTCATAGCTAGAACTATGGAAGTGAACAAGAAACTCGGGGATTTTACATTTACGACTGTTATTATTTCTTTTAGGCGAAAGGCATTAGGGTTCTAATCGTTTGACTTGTTCTTCTAAATGATACTTCACTTCGCCCCGGAAGGTGCCCTCCTAAGACAATTCCTAATTGGACTATACTTTGCTCTCACTCTTTTCAAATACGTATTAAGTATAGCTTTGAACTTACAAGGTTTCTAAAGCCATCACTACGAACAAATCATTACCAGGATTTTGAGTTTTATGGATGGATTGGATGTAAATAGTCATATAAATAGTTTTAGAAAAGTATAAATGTATTCTTAGAGCTCATCCAGCGTTTCCTCTACCTTCTTTAGCCTCCAACCCCATGTAAACGAGGATGGCAAAGACAGGGGGAATTGCCGATTAGCTGCTACAAGCGGCGACAGGATTTAAAGGACATGCACGACATACAAGGCTATCGCTTAATGTCGAGGGATCCGGACCTTTGCACCACCTGTTTAAGCGCGATACTTGTAGGGGATGTACTCGGTAGCGTTGATAGCATTAGCCATTGCCATACACGGATCAATAGAAGGATAATCTAATTATTTTTCTACTATCCGTTCAAGTCCTTGATTGTAATGTAGACTTACGAGGTTATCAAGGATCAAATATGTGTCAATTGCAGGTCTCATCCAAGAAGCATGTCTGGTAACTCCGCTATAACCATTGGTTCGATGGTTCGAGTTTCCAGATTGTTAGTTCGGGGTCAAGGAGTGCTTGATGCTGTTGGACGCAGAGAGGAAAGACATAGAGGAGTAGATCATTTACAGAAGAAGGGAAGTGTAAAAGTCAATGTTGCTTGAGAACCCGGTCTCAAAAAAAGGTGTTGTAAAATATCACCTAAGAAGCGGACAGGAGGACGAGACGAATTAGATGGAGAAGATGCATCGTTAGATTCTCCAGGACTAAAATATCCCACTTATTTAGGGGAACATTGATAGAGAACTCCTAGCCAAACTCCAACCCACAAACAACCCGCCATTTTAGTATCCCCCAAGCAATTACATGTCACGTGACTATATGACTATGCGTAGAGCTTCTTTTCGTAGCTCTCCATATTGACCCCACCCTCCAGCTGCGCACTTGCTGTTCGGATTTGGAATCTTGTAGTGCCGTTTGCGACTGCTTCGTGGAGGTTCTTTAGAGACTTCTGGCCACAATCCTGCAGAGAGTGTCTCAATCCCGCGGCTAGGTAAGGCACGAACTTGGTAACCGATCCTCTGAGATACGAGTTAGTAGATGCGCGAAAATGAGTAGGATATGAGTGAAAGAGGATGTCACGTACCTGTGTGCAACGGCTCCAGACACACCCTGAGCTACAAGGACGCTGTCTCCCTCAGAGAAGTAGCGTGCAGTTCCAGCATTGCTCTTCTGACTGTCTTTCGCACCGGCGCCAGCCTTCTTGTCCTGCATAGCGTCGATACTTCCCATGCCTCGGTACGCCTTGACAAGTTTACCCTCCCGACTGAGGAAGGATGTACCAGGAGACTCGGTAGTACCAGCCAAGAGACCTCCCATCATGATTGTTGTAGCGCCCAGGGCAAGACCTTTGACGATATGGCCAACATTCTGGATGCCTCCATCTGCTATGCAAGGAACACCATATCTGGCAGCGAACGAGCTGACGCTATGGACAGCTGTGGCTTGGGGACGACCAACAGCCATAACCTCCTGTGTGATACAAGCGCTTCCGCTTCCCATACCAATTCGGAGGCCGTCGACGCCAGCTACGATGAGGTTTGCAGCTTGCTCGCGGGTAACAACATTTCCACCGATGACGTCCAAACCAGGGTATTTCTCCTTGATATATTTGATCATTTCGATCTGGTAAATGCTGTCACCCTGACTGCTGTCCAAGATGACGATGTCCAAGCCAGCATCAACCAACTTCTGCAGACGGATCTTGTCCTCTGGTCGTGTTCCGATCGCAGCGGCGCAGATCAGTTGCTTGGAGTCGGGAAGTTTGGAAGCGAGCGGGAAGTGGATGTTCTTAGTCAAGTCGGAGCGCGAAATCATGGAGACGAGGTTTCCATTCGAGTCAACGATTGGGAGCTTGCCCTTCTTAGACTTGGCGAGAATGCTATTGCATTCTAGCAGATCGGTTCCAGAAACAGCAGTGATAAGATCGGTGATCATAACAGCAGAGACAGTTTTATTGAGATTTTCCTCGAATTGAATATCTCGGTTTGTCACAATACCGATCAGCTTGGAGCCAAGCTTGCCGTTCTCTGTCAAGGTAGAATTAGCCGATGAGCATATCCTTGATTCTGAAGAATTGCAACGGTGTTTGCACTTTTGTTCATAAAGAGTATATATTTTTTCCCCACGACCTTGCGGTCAATACGGATGAACGAAAGTTATTTGTAAAGTTTGATAATCATAAAAGTGTGTTGTTTGAAAAAGAAAATAAACAGGACCGCTTACCAGTAACTGGGAAACCACCGAACCCCCATTGCTCCTTCAAGGCCTTGACCTCTCCGATTGTAGTGTTGCGGTGGAGGACGATGGGATCGAGGATAAAGCCATTTTCATACCGCTTAACCTTCTGCACCATCTCGGCTTGCTCATCAGCAGAGCAGTTGTGGTGAATAACACCCAACCCTCCCTGCAGAGCCATATGGATAGCCATGTCATGTTCGGTAACGGTGTCCATGGGCGAGGAAACAAAGGGAGTCTTGAGAGAGATGCGCTTGGTGACGGGGGAATCAAGAGCGACCTCAGACGCGGCGAAGCCGATATGGGCTGGCAGGACGAGGAAGTCATTGTAGGTCAAGCCACCGTGCTTCTCGGAGTCCATGAGCATGTTGATGTCCATCCCATCCCCCTTCTCGAAGTGAGCGAGGTCATCGACAGCCTAGAGACGGGTCAGCAAGGCTGTTCGACAATGCCCCAGGATGCACGAAAAAATGCTCAGGGTAATAGAAGCTGGAACATGGAGCCGCAATGGCTGCAGGCGCTAGCTCCAACCAAACGTCTGTCTCTAGAATTGTGGTAGATTTACCTTGGTATGGTCCATGATATCTTGTCCCCCCCTGGCAAAGTGAGACTTTGTTTCTCCGTTGGTGAGAGGCATTTTGAAAAAGGTTCAAGAAAGTGATTGGAATAGAGAGAGTGTAGTCGACGACGTATTATGAGGTGGCAGGTCAAGTCAAGGTCGACGGGTTGAAGTTTCCTTCTCCCAAGAGGGAAAAGAAGAAAAAGAAAAGTCGAAAATTTGGTGAAGGAAAGTTTTGGAGGTGGGGTGGGGACGGAGCGGAGGACGGAGAGCGGAGCGGGCTAGGAATAATGTTTATCCGTAAAGCTTAAGGACCAACGTTTATCCGACGCGACCAAGAATTTCTGGCGAAGAGCAAGTGAACTCACCTACGAGTATGTAAAATTATACTTGGGTGATATCAAAGTACAGACATTATATAAGTTCTAGGTGGTGGTGGGAGGTTACAGATGGATTCATAGTAATGATATATAATTAATTACCCAATACAGTCCGAATAGTAACTATAATCATGAATTAACCGTGTACCTCCGATGTGTTGTTCGTCGTTGCCGTGCCAGCCAGCCACCATACGGAAGTATGTTTTTTTCGCTTGTTTCTCCCCTCACCTACCCTACCTTGCATTACCGTATTGTACCGTGTTTACTCCCTGCCTTATATATGCACATCCAATCCAAACCCCCAACCTCGTTGGATTGTCTTGTATTGTTGTATTATATTGCATCGCCTCATCACCCATTTGCAGTGGCTGAATATCCAGCATTCCTCACATCCATCGTCATCCTCCCTGAACTTCGCTTTTTTTGCTTCAAGCGCTGCGCGCCTAATCTTCAAGTCAATATCAACAAGTCAACCAACCATACCACAAGCACTCTTCTCCGCCTTGCCTTATCCTCCCATCTGTTTGCGCTGAACCTTTCTTGTGTGGCCGGAAAGGCGGCCATGATTGTAACATAGCAGACCGCAGTCCTACTTGAAAATCCCGCGACGATAAACACAACACACAATTCACATACAACGTCGGCATGGCGTACCGACATCCCCTCCGCCAAACACAAACCGCCGACTACTTATCGCCTACAAAGCGACAGCCCTCCAACGCTTCCACTACCTCGTCGGGATACTCCTCCTCATCCGGCGCATTTGATTTGAGCCGAACAAGCACTCTGTCTTCAACAACATCGAGCGGTTACACGGGCCATAAGAGGGGATTAAGTGAGACCACAGGCATGGCATATCCTGGGTTTGAGAAGACAGGCAAGCGTAGTAATCTGGACTCAAGTCCGGAAAGCGCATACAAGAACGTGCGCCAGTCTCTTCGCCCTCTACCCCAACCGCCTGCCGCAACACCCCCGGAAAGAAATGGCTACCATACGCGTGGGCAAAGCATGGACGTGGGATATCCTTCGCGTGGACATACCATCGATACGAGTAGTTCGGCATACACAGACTATGGCGAAACTACTAATACACGGCTATCTCCCATCAGACCAAATTCTATGCTCCTAACTCGCGCCGACTCGATGAGCCGCATGAGGGGTCAAACCATGCAACACAGCCACAGTCCCTTTGCCGCGCCGGATTTGCAAAGTCTCCAGAAGTCCTCGACCAGCCAGCTACGCACGCTGTCCAAGTTTGCTGAAAATGGATCCTCTGATAGTTTCAGCATCACATCTCCGGCGCAAGAAGTCGTTGGTCTTCACGGACGGAGGAAATTACAGCGAAGTGGAGGAGACAAGACCAATGGGCGGAATTGGATGGACAAACAACGTCAATTTTTGCAGGCATACGAATATTTGTGTCACATTGGTGAAGCCAAAGAATGGATGGAAGACATTTTGAAGCGAGAAATACCTCCAATTGTTCAGCTGGAGGAGGCTTTGCGAGATGGTGTTACTCTTGCAGAAGTTGTTGATGCCTTGTATCCCGAGCGCCGTCTACGTATATTCCGGTCTCCAAAGTTACAATTTCGACATTCGGACAACATCGCAATCTTCTTTCGACTTGTCGCTGAGGTGGAGCTTCCAGAAAACTTTCGATTTGAATTGGTCGATTTATATGAAAAGAAGAACATACCGAAGGTCATCTACTGTATTCACGCGCTGAGCTTCGCACTTTTCCGGCGGGGCATCGTGGACTTCCAGATTGGCAATCTCGTTGGACAGCTTGAATTTGAAGACCATGAACTGGAAACTATGCAAAAGGGGCTGGATAAGGCCGGCGTCAGCATGCCTAGTTTTGGAAATATGGGAGCGAGCTTTGGTTTAGAGCCGGAGCCAGAGCCTGAACCGGAACCAGTGGAGAGCGAAGAGGATCGTATCGACCGAGAATTAGGGGAGAATGAGATGGCGATCATCGACCTTCAAGCTCAAATCCGAGGTGCATCTGCCCGCATGCGATGTGGCGACATAATGCAAGACCTCTGGGACTCTGAAGACATGGTAGTTGACCTACAATCGCGGATCAGGGGCGACTTCTCACGGCAGATTTATGAATACCGTCTAAACATGCGAAGATTTGCGGTGAACCTGCAGAGCGGTATTCGAGGATATTTAGTACGACAACGGCAGCAAAATCGGGAATCGTTTTGGAAAAGCAGAGAAGGCGATATTTTGAAATTGCAGAATCTAATCAGGGGCAACAAGGCCAGAGACGAGGTACGCATGACGAGATCTCAATTGCGACATGAAGAGCTAGGAATTCGAAAAGTACAAGCGAACATTCGGGGCTTCCTTTCCCGCCGAGCTTTAGCAAACCAGAAGAAAGAGACGAAGACTTTAGCCGGGCCAGTGAAGGATCTGCAAGCCGCCATTCGAGGCATGTTGCTCAGAAACCTTGTCGCTGACGACCACAAAGAGCTTTGCCGTGAAGAGAGTTCAATCAATGCGATACAGGCTTCCATAAGAGCCATGCTGGCCAGAAATCAGATCTCTCGGCAGAGAGAGGCGCTCCAATCATCAACACCGATTTGGAGAGCTCTCCAGGCAATGTCAAGAGGAAAGGCCGTCCGCGACCAGATTCGGTCGACGAAAGAGGAACTGACAGCTCATCGCGCTGAAATAACGTCTTTGCAAGCGTACATCCGCGCATATGCAGTGCGCCAACAAGTGGCATTGACTCTCTCGTCACTGAAAACCCAACAACCGTCAATAGTGGAGGTTCAGACTCGAATCAGAGGAATGTTACTGCGGGGGAGCATCGCCGATGACCTTGAAGCACTTGAGAACGAGACACCGCAAATATCCAAAGTCCAAGCTTTTGCCAGAGGATGCTTGCAGCGTCAGCAGATAGGAGCACTTCTCGATCAGCTCGAATCCCACTCGGACGAGATTATTGAATTGCAGTCCTGGAGCCGTGGTGTTCTTCTCAGAAACGACATCGGCATGTTGCTTGGTGAGTTGGAGGCCGAAGAAGAATCCATCATCGAGGTCCAAGCAGCAACGAGAGCACTACTAGTCAGAGCCAAATTTGCCGAGAAGAAGCGCTTCTTCAAGGAGAACATGGAAAAGGTGGTGAAGATCCAAAGCTTCGTTCGAGGTCGATTGCAAGGAGAAGCGTACAAGAGTTTGACGACTGGGAAGAACCCTCCGGTCAATACCGTCAAGAATTTTGTGCATCTTCTCAATGATAGCGATTTCGACTTCAACGAAGAGATTGAATTCGAGCGCATGCGGAAGACGGTCGTTCAGCAAGTACGGCAAAATGAGATGGCCGAACAATATATTGATCAGCTCGACATCAAGATTGCTCTTCTAGTCAAGAACAAGATCACACTAGATGAAGTTGTCAAGCATCAAAGAAACTTTGGTGGTCACTCTGGGAATCTTCTCGTTAATACTTCAATGGCTTCCGGAAACCATTTCGACCTCAAAGCTTTGAATAAGAACTCACGGAAAAAGTTAGAGTCCTACCAGCAGCTCTTCTTCACACTTCAAACCCAGCCACAATACCTCGCTCGGCTTTTCAAGAGAGTTCGGGAGCAAGGGACATCCGAGAAGGACTGCAAGCAGATCGAAACTCTGACCATGAGACTCTTTGGGTATGCGCAAAAGCGACGAGAAGAGTACTATCTCCTGAAACTCATTGCTCGATCAGTCAAGGAGGAAGTGGACGGAGTGAATTCGATACAGGAATATTCTCGAGGGAATTTTTTCTGGTCGAAACTCCTATCTAACTATACCCGGTCACCTCGGGATAGGAAGTTTCTTCGCGAGCTTTTGGGCCCCCTCATTCAATCCAACATCATCGAAGATCCAGCGCTTGACCTTGAGAGCGATCCCATGCAGATTTACCGCTCCGCAATTAATAACGAAGAGCTTCGGACCGGACGACCCAGCCAGCGGCCGCTGGACATCCCCCGAGAATCTGCAATCAAGGATCCAGAAACTCGGGACATGTTCATCGATCACTTGCGAGACCTTCGTGAGATTTCAGATCAATTCCTATTAGCTCTAGAAGCTTTGTTGCCCAAGATGCCTTATGGCATTCGATTCATCTGTCGAGAAACGATGGATGCCCTGTGCCAACATTTCCCACGAGAACCTGAAGACCGGCTACTTCAAATGGTTGGCAATTGGCTCTGGAAATTCTATCTTCAACCCGCCTTGACAGCTCCCGAGTCAATGGGTGTCATTGAAAAGCAGCTCACGCCACTCCAAAAGCGCAATCTCAGCGAGGTTGCAAAGGTACTAGGTCAGGTCGCGTCCGGGCGATTGTTTGGCGGCGAGAACATCTATCTACAACCTCTAAACGCTTACGTCGGAGATGCAATTGAGCGAATGCGTCTCATTTTCTCTAATATTTTATCGGTTCCAGACGCGGAAAGTACATTCGATATTGACGAATTCAATGATTTGTACGCCAAGTCGAAACCAACTCTATACATCAAGATGGGCGACATCTTCTCTATTCACACCCTTATCGCAGGAGACCTCCCTTATATTTGCCCAAACAGAGATGATATGCTGAGAGAAATCGTTCAAGAGCTTGGTAGTGCAAAGAACAATGAGACCGAGATGACAGGTGTGGCATCTGGAGAAATTCAAATGACTCTCAATCCCAAGCTGCACGACATTGAAGATCCCGAAGCAGAGGTCAAGGCTCTATTTATGGAAACCAAACGATGCATTTTGTACATCATCCGCATTCAATCTGGCCCTAATCTCATGGAAATTCTTGTCCGTCCAATCACGCGCGAAGACAATCAAAAATGGCATGACTTGCTTCGAGAAGAGTTTGCCGCGGGTAGCAAGACTCGTGGCGCATACTCGGATGCAACTACCTTAGTAGATATCAAATCAATGTCGTACAAGGAACTGAAGCGAACAGCCTTGGAAAACATCATGAGACTCGAACAATTCGGCCGAATCTCGCGGCATAACTTCTATCAAGACATCCTGAACGCCATTGCACTTGATATTCGAACGAAGAGCCGAAGACGAGTACAACGACAAAGAGAACTGGAGGGTGTTCGCCTTACATTGGGTAACTTGAGCGAGAAGGCAGAATGGCTAGAATCTCAGAGGAAAAGCTACGATAACTACATCGAGCAAGCCATGATGACTCTGCAGAAGAAAGGGTAAGTCTATCTTGATCTCACACATGCAACACATACTAATAATCCCATAGCAAAAAGCGCTTCCTCATGCCCTTTACCAAACAATACAATCACGAGCGAGAACTTGAGCGCTCAGGCCGAAAGCCCAAATTCGGCTCCTTCAAATACTCCGCGAGAACACTTAGTGACAAAGGTGTACTAGTCTCATGGAAGGGCCATAGCGAACGCGAATGGGACAAGATCAACCTTACTATCTCTTGCGACGAGGTCGGCGTCTTCTTCATCGAGGGCAGCAAAGGCAGTATCCAGATTCCCGGCGCCAGCGCCCAGGTTCCCATGGATAGCTTATTGGCTGCGCAATTCGCAAATCACCAATACATGGACTTGTTCGAAGGAGGTATGAGGCTTAATGTTAATCTGTTCTTGCATTTGTTGTATAAGAAGTTTTATCGAACTGAGTGATGATCGCATGCATGATGGATACAATGGGGGTGTTTTTGTTTATGGGATCCTTGCATGGCTATGGCGTAAGAGAAGATTTGAGTGAAGGAAGCAAAGGGTTACATTATGCATTTATATTTGTTCGTGTATATACCTGTTGGGTCTGGGATGGCATGGGATGGAGTAGCGATAGGGGTGGATAGGAGATTACTAGAGATATTATGATGAATCAAATGCCTCTACCCTCAAGCCCACTTTTTGCTGAATGAAGAAGTGCAATGAAAATGTGGCATGTACATTCATTTCCTTTGTTATTTATTGAACTATTTACGTCCTGGTGCTCATTAGTCGCAGCTTCCTATCTAGCTTCATCTTGCAGACGCCACGAGGATGAGGAGATGGTTTTTACGTTTCCCCACCAGCAAAGCTCCTTCCTTTCATGAAGCACAAATACTAATCCTTAAGCAGAAGAATATACAACACTTCTATCACCTTCAACATCAAACCTTGCCCCACAACATCACAGAAACACTATAAACAAGCACCTGTACAAACATCCGACATGCGGTTTTCCCTCCTACTATGTCTCGTGACGAATCCTCACATCTTACACGCCGCTCACCTCCTTAATAACACCACGCCAGAACCGACTCTCCCTCCCTCGCTCACGAACAACCCCACCTGCGAACTCGTCGGCCAGGCACTCGCAATATGCAACTCTTTGACGCCGTCCTTCCAAGCCCTGCCCGCCACCTCACAGGCATATTGTCTCTGTTACTCTAGAGCACTGTGGGCGCCTAATGTTTTCGACGCCGCGGTGAAGATTTGCGCCGACTTTGCGTCCACTGCATCCGCCTTTGCGTATCCAGCTCTGCAAAACCTCGAAGGCTTCTGTATGGATATCGGGAATGTAGCAACAAACAATCAGCCCACTACACCGAGCACATCAACACTTGCTATGACTGGAGGTCTAAATAGCAGTGCACCTGGGTATAGTGGCGGTCCATGCGGTGTAATGAACGCCTTGGTGAGCACTTGCGCAAATCAGACTCCGGGGTTCAAGGACTTGCAACCCAGCGAAAAAGCTAGATGCCTCTGTTCACCACCTGGCCCTTTTGACAACATCGTTTCGTCATGCTGTCAGGTCGCGAAGACGCAGGCACCTGCTCAATACGCTTCAGCGTCTGCGATAAATGGGTTATGTGCTGTCGCTAGTAGGAGCCTTTCCAGCTACAGTTCTGTTTCTCAACAATCCATCACGATCACGCCGCCCAAGGCAATCTCAAGTTCGCCAGCGGAAACGACAACTCATCGAGTTATCACGTACACGGTGGTACCTACGCAGGTAAGCCACCTTTCCTCAGAACGCCTCAACTCATGAGGCACATTATGCCTACTCCCAAATTTACCCTGTTGGGCAATGCTGACGCTGAACAACAGATACAAGCTAAAGGAAGCCTGAAGAAAGCTACCAAGGTGGAGATTGTGGGTGTTAGCTTCATGTGTGCGGCTGTCGCGCTTTTTTTATGCTAGGTTTGCTTCTGGGTGGCACCTTCATGAGGCTTATCCGGGAGCTGTAATCCCACATCATGAGTTGATGAGTTTTGACACCTGACATCGTATGTTGCATCGATGCTGGCGCTTTGTAGATAGATAATGTATGGTTGTAGTAATTAGAATATAATGTGTTTGCACCGCACAAATCCGGCATCACCACTCCATTCCGCCCTCAGCCTCTTGTCAACTATAAGCAGGGAAGTACGAGATGGGCTCGAGGACATTGTCATAAGCATTTCACGTAACAGGATGCTAACTATAGAGCTACTGACATAAGAATGACTGACCATAAAATTGGTCCTCGGGTATTCGGTCATATCCTATTCTTAACGTATTAATTATAATATGTAACTTAACCTCTTTATACTAGCTTTGAGCCCTATTCTATTCGATACTCTTATTGTATTATTTCTAACAAGATGTCACTAGCGCCATTAGCCCCCTTACGTCTTCTTACATGACACACATATCATTTCTTAGTATCGTCCCTCTATGACCAAGGACCAAATCCTATAAGCCCTAGCTTACGCATCGTCACCGTTGTAGCCAATCAGGTTGTTCGTGCTCTCAGCTTGGGTAATCTTGCCAGAGGTTGCCAAAGCCTGGAGACGGGATGCAACAGCTGCCGGGGTACTGATACTCTCCAGAACGATCAGGTAGGCAGCGAGACCGGCGACGTGGGGAGCAGCCATGCTCGTACCAGACATCATTCGAGTAGCATCGGTGCCTCCAATCCATGCAGAGAGAATGTTCACACCTGGACTGAAGATATCGACGAGACTGCCAAAGTTGGAGAAAGATGCGCGTGCATCGCCCGAATCGATCGCACCGACCGTGATAGCAGTCGGCTCGGAAGCTGGGGAGAACCCGGAAACATCTGTGGCAGAATTACCGGCTGCAACGACGACAGTGACTCCAAGGTTATATATGCTCCTACGAAGAGCGATTAGCTTTCTTTTTCTCAAAACCATCCAAGAGCCCAAAGACAATTTCAAGGCTGTGCTGTGAAGTTATCTGCAGACTCCCGAGACACGTTCAAATGGGAAGGAAAGAACATGTCTTACTTGACGGCTGAGTTGACTGCAGAATCGAAGCTTTCTCCGAGAGACATGGTGAGTACAGCGTTCGCAGCGTGGTTTGCACCAACCCACTGGACGCCGGAAATGACATCAGAGGTAGAGCCTACACCGTCCTTGCCCAGAACCTTCACGCCCACGACGTTTGCAGACTTAGCAACCCCGTAATTGGTTCCTGCAATAGTTGCAGCGCAGTGCGTTCCGTGTCCATTCTCGTCGGTGTTCTACTTCTTGTGAATGATTAGCCTGTTTTAAGTTGCAGTGCACTTCAGCAGTAATAGCTTACATCAGATCCAGTGACGAAGTTAGCACCCATAGAGGCACGGCCGCCAAACTCTGAGTGACCGGTATAAATCCCCGTGTCAACAACATAGACATTTGCGCCGCTACCGGCCGTTGTGTCATAAGTGTAGCTGTGGCTTCCCTTGTCTCTATGGGATATACGACCAAGCCCCCAGGGTGCTTGAGTTTGGGTGGTAAGGTCGTTGGCGTATACTTTTCTATCCTTCTGAATGTAATCGACTTCGGGTTTGGCGCCGATCTTGTCCATAGTTCCTGAATCTGCATTGATCTGGTATCCTTTCAACAGCTCCATGGTGTAGGTGGCTCCGACACCTTGAGTATCACGCCTAGACAGCATCGAACCGATAGAATTCTGGTGTGACTCGATCGTATCATCGTCTATATCGCTTTTGTAAACAACGATGTAACTGTTTGGAATAACATCGCTGGCGTCGTTATTGCGGATCTTCAGGTGTCCGGCGTTGGGAACGGGTGTCGCAAAAACAGGGGCTATCACAGCTGCCAATCCAGCTAGTTTTACAAGATAGGAAACCATTGTACGAAGTACCTAGAAGCAGAGACCGCAGAATGAATGTCTTATACGCGAGAAGTGAGCGGGTGACGAGCGAAGTGAGGATGGAATACTGATTATCAAGTTTTTATAGGAGGCATCAAGGTACTTGTACTTCTAGAACTTTCATATCTATACCTACTAGACTCTAAAGCACATGAAACATGAAATGAATAGAGGTGTAATCCTGAATGATTATAACTCTTCTCACTCGCTCAGGCCCTCTTTGGTAAACAGAAGCTGGTCCGCCGGATTATGTCTAGATTGTTCCTCTTCAGACCCTCTTAGACCCACCCCTTACATCAAACATGAATTTGGTAGCTACCAAATGCTACAAGCTATTGAAATTAGCAGATGCACAAGCAGAAGTCTAGGCGAGTCCTTCGTCCTGGAGCTTGGGCTTCTAATATATTTAAGTACAGCAATAAGATACTGAAGCTCGCTTCTAGAAGCGTAGACAAGAGAGTATTAAGTCAAATGGGTATACCATTGTTATATAGGAGAAAACTGTTGTGTGATTAAGGTGTGAGGGGCTTAGATTTTAATTCTAGGGGTAGGAATAAGGTATTCTTGCTAACAATTTCATTGATAATCGTATTGAACGATCGCATATTAACTTTCGGAGTCTTTTACGTAATAGCAAATCATTTCCTATGAGAGAATCACCGCACCTTGAGCAAATTACCTCATGTGATATAAAATCCTTAATATTTCTGTTTCTAGACTTTCTCTACCCCTAGACTAGACCCACTGCCACGTTGTCTTGAAAATAACCTGCAGCCGCAATGTAGGCTTCCAGGTCGCAGCATCGCTGATAAGTATCTTCATTCTCTCGAGTCTTGTTCCTCAACTGCAGGGCGCAAGGACGAATGAAGTACCAACGGTCTTTGAATCTCTTCTTGATTCACAATAACTCTCAATTGATCATGTTGACTCGCTGGATAGAATATACTCGTTGCAGATTCGGCGGTAGGACAACATGCATCGGCATTATAAACCACGGCGAGATAATGGTACCAATAGTCGCCGTGCACTTCGTATATGTGAGAAACTGATATTACATCTCACTCTCCAGGTAGGCTTATAGGTAACATCGAAACGTAATGATGCCGGTATAGATTTCGACCTCGATGCTGGCTGAAAATCGTCGTCAATGTGTTAGTTCAATGGGCTTCTTCCTCGGCCCATGAGCTGGCAGCTCCCATGGGATTTTTAACTTGATCGAATGATTCTCCGTGGATACTTCTGCAAGGCTCTATAAGTAGTTTCGTGTAGCCAGTCGGCCTTCTCGAGGCCTCATCCTAGCTGCTGTCCATCGAGTAACTTCTTGAGCTCGAACAGTCTGTGTAGTCACTTCGCACTCGACCCTAAGTTGTTCTTCCAGTTTTACCCTCCAGTCTCTCTGAATGGCCATGTATTGATCGACCTTGGCATCGTCAAGGTCCTCATCCCGCACTTGCACCCCGCCCTGTCTTCTCATACCCAGATCCATTAAGCTCACTACTCTCACGACGCCATGTTTATTAGTCCATGTTCCATAATCAACTCTCTGTATTCCTCCACCAACCGCCTGCTTGCAAAATGCGGCCCAATTCGTAAACGCAGATCTCCCAGCTTTGTTCCATGGTATCATGGAGAAGCCGTGTGGCATTCCCTCGTATCCGTCAAACCCCACCGTTCCACCAGCCTCGTAAACTCTTCGTGCAAATACCTCTGCCTCATCCTGCATACCTTCCCACCCCACAGAGAGATATACAGGAGGTGCTCCATCCCAAAGATATTTATGCGTGGCCAAAGGACTGACGAGTGGATGATCCACCATTGTCGCTTCACAATATGTCTCCACTCGAGGAGGAACTGTTGGCCAGACCGAATCGGGAGGGAAATTCGGATGAGGAATAGTGCGGTCTTCAGACGGGGGCGCAATAATATCGTAGCGGGAGTTTCGTGTTACGGAGGGAAGGGAGCGAGATAGGTCTAGCCAAGGCGAGGTGAACGCCAGACCGGCTAATGGAACTGTAATGTCTACATGGCGGTCGTGGAAGTATATACGTGATATCCCTATACGAGGGAGAGTGAGTAGAATCTGGAGGAGCGATGCCGCTAGACCAGCCCCAGATGAATCACCTGCTAGGATGATCTGAGATGGAGAAATGGGTTCATGGAAGGATCCAGGCGGTGGGCAAAGTAGGGCGAGATACGCAATGAGGCAATCGAGGAGCGCTGATGGGAATGGATACTGAGGTGAAAGTCGATACCGTACTGAGAGACATCGACCGCGGGTTTGCTGGGCGAGACCGGAGGTTGTCCATCGATGTGTGGCGGGGTCCATCAAACTGAAGCATGGTTGAGGAGTGAAGCATGTTGGAGACGGCAGACTTACCAGAAAGCACCACCATGTAAGTAGAGGATGACAGGCGAGTCTATCTCAACCTCCTTCATCATTTGTTCATATTTGTCTCTCTCTGAAATGTCTGGGGACCTTGCAATGTGGGAAACTCCCCCACGATAGCCTGTCCATTCTGCTTCTACATTAACAGCCTTTGGCTGTGTGTAATGGTCAGAGCCATCTCCCAAAGCCTCGATAGCCTTAGTCAGAGCGTCTTGAACCTCGCAGATGCCTAGGTGGCTGTTGGGTTTCTTCTCGGGGCTCAGGATCGTATATTTCGACACCCACATGCGACCCCATATGCCATAGTCTATCTTCGTCTGCTGTTGAGACTTCAACAAGGATACTGGGTTACCGAGGGTAGGACGAGCCATGACGGCAATAATCTCAGTGACAGCATCTTGAACAGAGCTATTAGGTGACCACCCAAAGAGCGCAAGTATAGCGGTTTTGAGAATTAGCGGGACGCGAGGAAGAGTGTTTCTTGCAAGGCCAAATAGGCTGATGTCCATGGTATGGTCCTAGGCAGATCTTAAAGAGAGAGATAGATCCTACAAAAATGTGCAGCAGAACTATTGCCTAGACTAGGTACTATAAGTGAAGTCAAGATGGGATGATCTTGATACTTTCAGCTGAAGAACGTCAGGGTGCACGCGATTGACGCGTTGATTAGTCATCTATGGTGGTGTAGCGCCAGTAGCATATTTTAGGCTATAATCGCTACATAATTACACCGTGCGTAAGGCTTAAACCATTATATTTTAGCGTGCATATGACGTTCTTAGTCCCCTAGCGCACTCGCGGCTCACGTATTAGAAGACGTACTGGATTTAAGTATTGGCAGATTATCTCCAACGCGAATGAGCACAACGACAAACACTAATAACAATTATGACATAGACTATGACTAACAAAGGATCATTCATATCTAATATATATAATAGAGGTATAATAGGCAGCAGCGCGCTACCTAAATCCAATTCTTTAAAAAGCCGTCCGATGGAGTTAGGCATCTTGGAAAGCTTTATTTCGTCAAATTACTAACAGAGGATATATAGTCGGCTTTAACTTGCATTAACACCATATATTTCAGCTACTTGCGTTACTATGATAGCACTTGGATAATAAGGTTTTGCCTATTTACCGCTAAAGTACTTCGTGGCATCTTATTGGATCCTCTTCTAGTCTGCTCGTGAGTATCACCGGAATGGGTTAGTCCGCTTGACCGGACTACCTACTATTTATCTCCGACCTACAACTACTTTGTTATCTCCATAGAAACATGTTATAAGAAGAATGAGCCAGGTCGCTGGCAATCTTTCCAAGTTCAGCATCAATACAACCAATCAATAGCACAAATCTATCAACTAACAAAAATCATGGCCACCCGCAAGGTCGTTCTCGTTACTGGCGGTAACAACGGTATTGGCTATGAGGCTGTCAAAGCATTCCTCCAGTCCCAGAAGCCATACCATATACTTCTCGGCAGCCGCTCAGTGGAAAAGGGCAAGCTGGCACTCGACTCCCTTAAAAAGGAAGTTCCAGAATCCCAAAACACCGTTGAAGTGCTTCATGTCGATCTCGAGAGCGACGAGTCCATCGAAAAGGCTTTCGAGCAAGTCAAGAAGAGCCCAGGCTACCTCGACGCTCTTGTGAATAATGCCGGTATGCATCTTTCATCAATATCTAACATCACAGCTAATATTCTACAGGTGCCAGTTTCGACCCAGCATTTATCAACGGTAAAATCTCACTTCGAGAATGCTTCAATAAAGCCTATAACGTCAACGTGTCTGGCACGAACGTCATGTCCTGGACCTTCATGCCGCACTTACTCCCGTCCTCTGATCCCCGTCTTCTTTTCATAGCCGGTCTCTCCCAAATTACTCTGGCAGCTGAAAAGTACTTCCCCACGCCTCCTCAACCAGCTGGGTGGCCCAAGGCCATTGACTTTGAGACAATCGGGTACCGCTGTAGCAAGACTGCGCTTAATATGCTGATGTTGGATTGGAATCATAAGTTGAAGGAGGATGGGGTTAAGGTCTTTGGCGTTGGGCCAGGGTTTCTGGCTACGAATCTGGGAAATGATCCCGAGTTGACGCAGAAGGCGAAGGCGATGGGGGCCAAACATCCTAGTCTGGGGGGTGTTTTGATTAGGAGTATTGTAGATGGTGAGAGAGATGCTGATATGGGGAAGCTTGTTAATAAGGATGGACTTTCTGCGTTTTAAAAGCTTGTCATGGATGGGTCACTTATTGAGGTGCACCACTGCATATTTAAACAACTTACGCTTACCAATGTACCTTATGAAAATATAAACTCTCTTAGTGCCGGTCAATAAATTGCGAGATAGTCTATCCACTTTCCTATACATTCGCCATTATGTAGCTATCGACATGATTTGTGTCCCTATAGCGACGTTTTGGACCCTTGTGACACACCCATTCTATAACCAACGTGAAAAACAATCACTCCAAACGGAGACCTCAAAGGCTCCCAACTCCAGCACCTTGCCAATGTCGTCAGCGCCCCTTTCGCAAGCAGATTCTCTCCCTCTTAAATATGATCCTCTCCTTCAATACAACTAACTATTACAGCACATCCCCGCATGCAAAGGCGGTACATGCGTATAATAATTGCAAAGGTTATTCAACGACAACGCTGCAGGCTTTTCTTCAAATCTTATATGCTGCAGACTCAACTGACACAGATCATCTATAAACTCTGTCAGAAACGCATCATCACCACCAGCATATATCTCCCCTAGTCCGCTAGGTGGTATATCAAGATCGACGATAAGCCCATCCAGCGTGATTCTCCGCACAGCAGCACCTGCTCGTGTGCTGCTCCAGACCTCTCGGATTGCAGAGACTTCTGTGGCTGCTAGGCATTTGTGCTTCCGTTGGGTAAGGTAGGCCGATACTAGTAGGTCGGCGATGGCGTTTTGGAAATGGGGAGCTAGTAGGAAGTCTCCGAGAGCCCAGCACCGCACTAGCTTTATCCATTGGATGAGGAACCATTGCTGTTGGTCTGAGGTTTCGATAGAGATCGGTGGGTATTGGTTTAGGCCTGGGATAGTCCGAGCATCGTATCGGTCTGGTGTGTATGCCCAGGCGAGGAAGACGGCGAATATTTCTGGTTCGAATTCCTAGATGTAAATCTTAATAGAGATTCTATGCTTTGAGGCTTATAAGAAAGTCCTATTGAAATAGATAGATATCCATAGCCTTGATCTTTGATGATCTCCTAATTGAAGTAGAACAAATAAGCTAACGTACCTTAAGTGTAATCCTTTTATTCTGTCCTTCCTGCCAAGTTCCTTCTTTAAATGCTGTGATAAAGAAGTCGGAAGCATAGCAGAGCAGCGTCTTTGCTACTGGAAATGTTGCCTGAATGTATTTAAAAATTAGTTCTATCTAATCTGCAAAACTAGTTTTAGTAGCCCTGAAGTTTCCTACCTTGTTTTCATCATTGCCGACAATAACCTCGACTTGTTCTTGCAAAGCTGTGCTAAACGAGAAACTTTTAGCTAAGGAAACCATGCATTGATATATAGGGAAAGCTTACACGGTGAACATTCCAACCGTCTGTTCCCTAACTGGTTGAGAGTACTCCATTTTGATTGCTTTCGACTAGAACCTTGACTTCTGATGGAAGAGGCTCTTGCTAAGTGTTGATATAGAGATGCTAAAGGTAGCGGAGGAGGATTGTTGTGTTTGCTTCCCTAGAACAGCGGCTTTCGATGTTAGAAGGGAAAATTGTTGATTCTTTTCTGCTTAAAGATAGCAATATATATAATTGCGAACCCCGTCGTCTAGTTGCTGTGTGAACCATGAAGTCTCAAATCACACTGCTAGTAGGCTCTATGTGAATAGATATATAGTAATGACCCCTGTCTAGAGGCCGATTCACATAGACTTTTGAGGCATTTAGGAGATGAGCCTATGAGAAAGAGCTTTAGTGACAAGCTAGGACAACTATGTCTTAGATTTGAAAGGGCGTTCTCTAAAACCCTATTTTCTTGCAAAAATATGAAATAAGCATACTAAAAAATAAAGACGTAGGTCAAAGGAAGAAAATAATCAAGTTTTAGACTTTAAGATAAAGCATCATTATCGGGATTTCAATGGCATCAGCTTCAAAAGATAGATAAGAGGCATAAAGTGTATTGTAGGTCAATTTCTCCTTGTCCTGAGGTCGATCGTTTCTGGACGCCTTTCAAACCCCTGTACAGGAATAATTCGCAGGCTTTCCAGGATGGATATGGTAAGTACAAGGATCCTTCAGCCATGGATACATAGGACGAGCCCCCCCGCGAGCATGCGTAATGGCACGCCTCGACAACTCATAAAAGTACTCCGTAAAACACGGAAAATGCGGCTCGAAGCTCACCGGCGGTGTATTCAGGCCACAATTCGCCATCAACTCGTCCAACATAATATTCCGCAACGGCGACCCGGGAAGCGTATTCTCCCAGATCCGCTTGATGCCCCTTGGACCAGACTCGGATATCTCAGGATGGATATTACCGTCGATTGTTTGGGTTGTGTGGTGCTTAGTGTCCACCAGCGCGTCCGCGACTGCATTTTGGAACGCATGGATTTGCAAGAATTGCCCGAGGAAGCATCGAACTAGTCTGTCTGATCTGGGCATCAGAGATGCTGATCTTTCTTCGTCGCTGGTGTAATTTCTGAGCTTTGGGAAATAGGCGGAGTTTTCAATGGATCCGGTGTACATCCAGGTGAGGAGTATCCCGAAGATCTCTGGCTCCTCTGCCTCGAGTCGAACGGTTGCATCTCGTCCGCTTCGCCATCGTTCGTTGCATGCTGCTCTGAAGAATACAGAGTGGAACAAGAGCATGCTGGCTGGCACAATTATCTCATATTGGTGTCTGCCGATAATGACCTTGACAAATCCGCTCAGGTTCTCCCTATTATAGGACAGTCAGCTACAAGTTCCGCAGAGAGGGGTATCAAAATCAATTATCATACAAATTTATAGCTGAAGTCATGTCCTCTGTGGCTGCAGTACGTGTCGCCGCCGCAGTAGGATTTGGTGGCGTATTGACATTTGGATGCGGTCGAGACGCTATTGGTATAGCAGATCCCCGAGCTATCAACCCCGAAGCTGTCGGAACAGGCATGATAGATGGACGAGTCGGGGTTGATTGGAAGATGCTCGATGATGGTACGCTCATTTTTGGTGTCGATGGGAAAGGATATATCCTTTGACCAACTTAGCATTCGCGAGTTCTAGTCTCCCGAGGTCTTTAGTCCAGAGCTGTCCAGAAAGTGTACAAAGGTACTACGCAAGGCAATAAGATAGTTGTGGAGACAGCGCTGTGTGCAGATAGGCGACAATCTAAGTTTTTGTTACCAAGGTATGGAAGTTAGGAGTCAGGCAATGGGGTTTGGGAAGGCTTTAAATACTATTCCAGGGTTATACTCGTCTTTATTCAATGAATACTAAGTAACATTGAATTTCTGGACGGCCATCCAAATAAGAACTGCGCCTTATTAACCAAACAAACGTCCCATAAGCTTATAGGAAGAGGCTACGTTGATTCGGAGAATGTTATCAAGGCGGAAAAACAATGCGTACTTCTGTTCCCAGAGTCAGTGGCTAGTAGGAAGTTAGTACAACATACTAGAACAGAAGATGAGGTGGCTTAAACACTTTTGGAATCCCTATCTTGGTAGATGAACAATGAACAGGCCCGTGGGTGCTATGCCAATACACGCAAACAAACAAATGGTACGATCAAGCTTGGTACTAACATAACTTACACGTCTTTTGCAAAGTCTATCTGTCTGTCCATGATATCCTGCAATATGATATGTCAATAGTCAACTTGAAATCTGCTGAAAGTGACAGGGTCTGAATACTAACCTGTACTTATTCCCCCCTCCCCACCAAACCTCCACCGATCCCTGGATCTGGAAGGCGCTGGAGGAATTCCACAGATCGAACAGACGCTTAAACCAAGAAATGGCGCCTGTTAAAAACCTACAAGGAGATGTATGCATACGCAGACTCGCATTACTTAACCGCTTTGCTTTGGATCCAAATCAAAGAGATAGCGAGTGGCAAATGTTGCTACGGCGGCATAATTCCCTAGGTGTCATCCTGAAAGTAATAAAAGAGTACACTAAAGTGTGAGGAATGTATCTTCAAGTGCGGACGATAGATATCCCCACATTATAATATCAACGGTACCTAGGTACCTGACTTGCAACAAATTGATGTATAACAAAGGTGATCTGAACTGCGATGATGTTCATGCTCAATACGCAGGGACCAAGATGGCTTAAATATATTTCAAAGACTGTCTCTCGGTTTATACCGTTGTATGCCAAGGGAAGATTGTCAGATTACCCCCTTTTCATAAGCGATGCAAACCGGGTCCATGCACTTGCACATGGCAATTAAGAGACAAATAGAAAGTCGCAAACAGATGCACCAGCACAAACGCAAACAAATTCACAAAGCAAATAATGTAATAGATTGCCTATACCAACGATTCAAACTTATCTACCCTTCGCATTCACCTCAAGCTCCCCGCAGCATGCCACAACGTCCCCTCAATAATCCCCACCCACTTCGCCGCATTGCCATAATCCTTCCCATCAATAGCCTCCACTAGCCCAGGGAACACAGCCCCCGCATACCCGGTCCAAAGACCCGGCGCGAACACCACATGCTTGAACCACGGCCGTCCATCCAAGCCTTTCTTGTGCAAGAACTTCCTCTCCAGGAACTTGTACTTGGAATTGACTTTCCGGATGTTGTAGATGAGCTTGAGTTTGGATAGCCACTTCCACCACGGCAAGTCTTCACCAGCTTCTTCCGCGAGCTCGGCGGCCCAAGAATCGTGAGCTTCGGCTGCTTTGAGGAGCTTGTGGGCTGCTTTGTGAAGTTTTTTAAAGGAGAGTTTTAGGGCGTGGATGTCCCCAGTGGCGGCTAATGTTGTTGGGCGGGCGCGTGCCTCCTCGTCTTCCTCTTCTGAGGTCGTGCCGATGATTGCGGCATCCAGTTTAGTTTCCACATTGGATATGTAGCCATCCAAAGCAATCGCATAATCGGTAGCATTTAGTGGAATGACTGGTGCTTCTGACAATTTCGCGGTGAAGAGAGCCCATAGTTTGGCTGCGGCAACGTGGTAATGGAAGCCGGGGTCACCGTATGTATTCATCCAGTGGTAAGAATCGTAGTTGGAATGGTATTGGTAGACAGCATCACCAGCACCTTCATCTGGTTTGAAGCCGAAATCAACGGATGGGATGCCGGCAAAGTCCTGGAAGGCGGTGAAATCGCTACCACTTCCCATGGTTCTGATCTCACCGTCCCAAACATCACCGACAGTTTGGCCGGGGATGGTCTGGTTTGGTGATTGCACAAGCTGTACAACCTCGTTGAGGACCTTGTTTAGCAACGGACTGGCTTGAGCGCCAAACCTTGGACCGGTTGTTGCTACATCTACATTGATATAGGCGACGTTTGCGTGAGTCAGCCACGGGATGTATTCCTCCACCCACTCGGTTGATCCAATGAGTCCATACTCTTCGCCGTCCCAGCTTGCAAACACGATGGTGCGAAGTGGTTTCCAGCCTTTGGAGAGAGCGACACCGAATGATCGAATGACTTCGTTGAGAGCAGCTGATCCGCTGTTTGGGTCACCAGCTCCACCAGCAATCCACGCATCGCGATGATTTCCAATAACAATCACTTCATCCAGCAAGGTGCCGTTGATAACACCAATGACATTCCAGAGTGGTGTGGTGACATATTCTTGCTCGTTGACGAGATTCAGGACTAAATTGTCAGGGGAGGGACCGACGTTATATTCCACTCCCTTGTACTTTAACCCTAAATTGCGTTGCCAGTATTTGTTCAGAGTCTTCGGTGAGGGGCCATGGCCGTTGAGTGCGGTTAGAATTGGGATCGCATCGACATACGAGATGGGGATAGATGGGATGGAGGGAATTGCACTGTCAACGGGTTGGCGGGGCACACCGGGTTTGGAGGGGTATCCGGGCGTAGTACTAAAAGGGTCAGCATTTATCAGCTGGGACGAGGCAGAGGGGAGGAACTTACGGATCTCCTGGTGCTACGCTTAGAAACTGTGTACTGCCTCGCTGAACACTACTGGGATTTCTGCCGGGTCCTTCGGGATAGAGATCCACACCGTTCTCATCGGTGTTATCTCCATCATCACCGGGATCAGTAAAGATCACGGTTCCAACCATTCCCAAGTCTTGAGCACGCTTGACCTTTAATCCTCGGAAAATGCCACCATATTTTGCAACGGCAATCTTCCCCTCCAAGCTAATGTTGGCTTGAATCAAATCCTCGAAATCTTGGTAGGTTCCGTAGTTGACATAAACGTACGGCGCCGTGACATTGCCGCTGGCAGAATATCCGTGGAAGGTAGGGATGCGGTTCTCTAGGCCTGTTGTCTCGTCTTCTTCCAACACATCCTCCTCTAAGCTTGCTTCGAATTTGACCTTCCATGCGTCCACCTCTCCAACATCTTTGCTCTTTGCCTTCTCATATAGGGCCAATCGGTGGCCGAGGGGATAGTTGATGTATGTGTCGTAGGCCACAATATCAGCCTTGATTCCAAACTCCTGCCATCTCTCTTGGGTCCAGGTAACCTGGCTGTAGTTCTTGCCGGCCAAATGGGGACCCGACGTGTAGTATTTACTCCATTCCTGCGCCTTGTGCTCCTTGGGCGTCTCCAACAAGATCTCCTGCAGCTCTTTGAATGTGAGGGCGTTGGCGGATTGACCTGGTGGGCCAATTGGGTGTGGCTTTGGGTGACGCTGGCCAGGTAGGAAAGCGACGGGGAGGAGGAAGAGGACGACGAGAGCAACGAGGGCGGAGGCTAATGCAATTGTGCAGAATCGACGGAGAATGTTGTGGGTATATCGTCGGCGAGGAGGGGCAACATGAATAGTTGCAATCAGAGGGGTTCGTTCATTCATCTTCTCGTCAATGATTCTGCCGCCATGACGGCGTTAGTAGGTGGGATGGGGAAGAGCGATCGATCTTGCATCAAAGGTGGCCTGGATGTAGAGTTGATTGAAGCAATTGAAGTGAAGGTAGAAGGGTAGAAGCGGGAGACGAGGACGGGGACTTATAACAAAGATGCAACAGATGTCTAGCTTAGCTTACCTTATCTGATGGCGACATCTCGGCAGTGTATAAGGAATGAAGTGAAGGGAACAATACAATACAATACAATACAATACACAAGACAGGGATCCACTCTTGAACTTCTCGTAGTAGTTAGACCTGAATAGATGGAGAGTGGGAGTGGGAGGCTCGGGAGTTGGGAGGGACAGGAGAAGAAGATAACGTGATCTACGCCACGCCAAGCCAAAAGAAGGAAAGCGGCAGCGGCTGTCAGACATGCGACTACTGCGATAGCGGAGGAGATGGTCAGATGCAGCCAATCAGATGAGTCTTCCGCTCTAGTGTCGGTCGGTATCCACTTGCCATTTTAAAGCTTGGTCACCTGAACGGAACAGTCTTTTCTACCTTTTCACGTCCTTCCCCGCCTCCCGAGTAGAGTAGCAGAATGATGATGGCTGAAAGCAGCAAGCCTTGCCTATCATATTGCGTAGATTTCTATGTACAAGGCTACCGTAGGTATCTTCTTTCTTTGTTCCTTTTCTAGCTCGCTTTAAGTCAAAGTCGGTCTCTATTCCATCTTCTCTCTTCTGACTGACTCTTCCCTCCGTACACCTACAAGTACTCTCCTCCTCTAACTCTTCATTCCATACACCTACAACTACTCTCCTCTCAAGACATCAGTCTACCACCATCTTGTGGCCTTGCGTGTGTTGTTTAGAAAGCATGGCTGTCGAGTTCGAAAGTTTCTAGGAGTGAAGAACAAGGCTCTGCCTCAAGTACAACCACCGCCACCAAGATGACGAGGAATTCGCGTGGACCAGCCAAGCTGCCTACGAAGCAGCTGGCAATTCTTGGTGAGTGTCAACACTTCCATTCCTTCTGAAGATCCGCCATGCAGACTTTGCTGTGAGTATTGAAGCTGGCAGGTTGTGAAGATTCTCCACGTCGGCATCAAGATGAGGTTCAGTATTGAGTGGCAAGGCAAGGCTGGACAACAGATTAGAATGGGGCGATGATGGATCCTTGATGCATCTCTGCAACATTGTCACTGCTTGGGATGGTTTGCAACTGGAAAGTGGGGCCCTCATACTCTAATGGTGTATCATTCAGCATTGTCAAGTACTGTAGGGCAGTGTAGGGTGTCTCAAAATACATTGTCAAACGCCCCCATTTCTATTGAATTGTCGTTCGGGATGTTGCAGCCAGCCAAAACGCCATACTTTACCTCTTCCAATTTCTACAACCCCCAAAGCAGGCTGACTGACGGTTCATAGCAATATGTAGGTTCGCTGAACCCGTAGCTTTGACTTCGGTCTTTCCATATCTGGTACGTATACTACTTCACCCCCATCCTCATCCCCATCACCACCAACATCAACCCCTCCCCTTACTCCACTGACATCACATGACAGCCTGAAATGATCGAGGGGTTTGGGGTCAAGGAAGAAAAGGTTGCCAAATGGGCTGGTATTACATCTGCTGCCTTTTCCTTATCACAATCCTCCACCGCAATCATCTGGGGAAGAGCATCAGATATGTTTGGTCGGAAGCCAGTCATCTTATTTGGCTTGACATGTACCATGATATGCACTTTACTATGGGGCATATCTACCAGTCTACCAATGGCAATCATGATAAGAGCACTTTCGGGAGCTTGCAATGGCAATGGTAAGTCTTTCGCTGTTGAAGCCGCAAACCTTGCTCACAATCCACAGTTGGAATTATCCGAACCATGGTGGCTGAGATGGTTCCCGAGAAAGAGCTTCAACCAAGAGCTTTTTCAATAATGCCTCTGGTATGGAGTTTAGGTTCCATCTTTGGGCCCTCATTTGGGGGGTTCTTCGCAAAACCAGCCGAAAACTTTCCAGGGATATTTGGAAATAGCAAGTTTTTAATCAAATTTCCCTTCCTTTTGCCAAATATAGTGGCAAGTGCGCTGTTCACAGTAGGGATTTCAACCGGAGTCTTATTTCTAAGAGTAAGTCCTTTCCCAACCACCTTTCATCTCTCGCTCACCAGACCAGGAAACACTCGAAACAAAACGCCACAAAACAGACTACGGCCGCGAAGTAGGCGCGAGATTAGTTTCGGCCTTTAGAACCACCTTCCGCCTCAACCGGAAACACAAAAAGTTCGGCCGGCATTCCAACGTTAATGAAGAACAATCCCTACTACGGCCCACATCCTCTGCAGGTGACGAGCAATACGACGGCAACTTTTCCTCCAAATCCGTCTCCAAACCCCCACAACCCGCCCCCGCCCTCCGCGAAGTCTTCACCCGCCAAAGCGTCATCAACCTGATAGCATACACTCTCCTCGCCCTACACTCTGTAGCCTACGACCAACTCCTCCCCATATTCATGCACGCCAAGAAACAACCCCACGACGCCAACACTCAGCTCCCCTTCAAATTCACCGGCGGTTTTGGCATCAACCACGCCCGCATCGGCGTCCTGTTCACCGCGTACGGTTTCGTAGGCTGCTTCATCCAATTCCTCGTCTTCCCGCCCATGGCCCGCCGTTTCGGCGTCCTGAATTGCCTCAAAGGCTGCGCTGTCGCCTTCCCGCTCATCTGCTTCGTCACGCCCTACACAGCCCTGCTTCAGAGCTCGGCGCTCCAACAAGGCGCCATGTTCGCTATCATGGTCGTCAGGAGCTTTGCCGTCATCTTTGCGTTCCCATGCTCCATCATCCTGCTCACCAACTCGGCGGTCAGTCTACGCATCTTGGGCACACTGAACGGTGTCGCTGTTAGTGTATCAGCGGTCGGACGAGCCATTGGGCCTGCGTTGGGCGGTACGGCTTTCACGTGGGGCGTGGAAAGAGGATATGTCATTACGCCTTGGTGGTTACTCGGTACCATTGCCATGATTGGCGCGATTCCCATCTGGCATCTTGTAGAAATGGAAGGCTTCAACAAAGCCCCCGACAGCGACGACGATGACGATGACGAAGAGGGATTACTCGATCAAGTTGATGAAGAAAACTCGCTTGACATACTAGAGGGTGATGAGGTATTCGACGACTACGAAGAAGCGCTAGATGTTGTGGATGACTCGACTCTCTCTCGTGTTCTAAGTAAGAAGAGCATCGCTTCTGGCACAAGCGCCTTTGAACGCCGCTTGAGCAGTCCGATCGGAATCAAGGAGAGTGTCGGCCCTGGTGGAGGCAGACGACTGAGTAATGGGCTTGCGGCTAGTAATATGGGACAGGGAACTGGCGGTACGAGTTTTGCTTGAATTGTTTTCGAAGCCAAGTTGGGGAGTTGGAGCGGGTGCATAGTTGCATACTTGTAATTTGTAAATGATGCATGCATGATATATGAGCGACGTAATGAGAGGTAAAAGCATATAGGTAGATCCGAAGGTTCAAATTGCACATTATTTAATCGGATCCGCTCTTTGGTTCAAATGACTAAGTACATCATATTCGGCAGTAGATAGTTATAAGACCTAAAGTATCTTGCTTTGTATTTCGTACTCATAAGTGACTTCACACTTAGTCTTCACTTCACTTCACTTATACAACTCTAGTTATTTACAAGATCTATACACTTTTATATTAGTAGTACTTTTAATACTAGAAAATTCAACTATAAATACCCTTATATACTTAAGTAGCTTAATTATATTTTCATATTACTTTGTAAAACTCGCTTTTCCTATACCCGATCGGGACTAATTGTGCACGTGCATCCCACCCTCCCCTTGATATCTGAGTCCGTGCCGACCTGTTGCTTGAGACTTCAAGCATAACCAATACCAGATTTTATGATTTGGGGGTTTAACATCACTCACTCCTCACCCCAAGATGTCCGAGCAGTCAGATGCAGATGCACCCGAATCGGCAGTACCAGAAGAGACAGAGCACCACAGCAGACACTCCAAATTCAACGAATTAGTGTAAGTGCCTACCTATCCTAAGCTTCACCTATATATTGCACCGATCTTAGAACCTAGCCCACTCACCCGACCCCCAGACATGAAGGCTGGCACGTAGGCAAAGAAAAGAGTCTTGAGGGTCTACTCAAAAGCAAACTCTCCCTCGAACACTCCCTCGGCCTCGGCGCCAAACCAAATGTAATACCCCTGGGCGAACCGCGCATCGACGGCCCGCTCCGCCCTGTGCAAATTGGCTGGCACCCCGTCGCCGGCATGGGCGGGAAATGGCTCGCCGAAAAATCTGGACTCGGGAAAATGATCACCAAGGAAATCGGCAAGTATCCGGACCCGTCGCAGCACTGGGCCGTGCTGGTCGGAGATTTTGTGCATCAGCTGTGGATGGATGAGCAGCTGGATGTCATCTATATCAATGAGGAGTGCAAGCGGGAGGAGTGGCATGTCTTTGATGTGGGTATGACGAGGTTTACGGATGAGGCTTTGAAGCAGGCTGGTTAGTATTACTATTGGCATATGTAGGTACTGTAGAGGCTACCTACAGTAACTATTGATTAACATTGGATGTTATACTGACACAATCAGCTGACATGACGATCCATAACATGAGGGAGAAACGGCCAGCCTACAATCTAATCAGCAACAACTGTCAGAACTTCGCCGTGCTTCTCCTGGACGCCATACAAGTGGGAGCGCACCGCCAGTTCGCAACTAGTTTTGCCGTTTATTCCGCAGCCACGGGCGCTGGCACAATCAAGGATCTGTTTGCGGATGCTCATCCCGAGGAACAAAAGGTCCATGAGCCAGAGGAGGCTGAACACCCTGAACGCCCTGAATTGTATCGCATGGACACGGTGCAGAATGCGCAACAGGTCATGGATGAGAATACCACCAAGTTGGATAATCACCGTTCCTTGTTCTAAAGTGGAGTGCATCGATCCATTACTGGTAGCGAGAAGCGAGAAAGAATAAGAATAAGAATAAGAATAATGGATCACGGGCACGGATCATAGGAGAGATTCAGATCGTTGAGATGGGGATTAAATAACGAGAACCTAGGGTAGATTTGAGGGGTTGATACTCCACGGTAGCAGCATATACCCAACTGGCAATCTGTTTCCATGCATCGATTCGATGTCTTGCAGGATTCCAATGCTTAAATGGTGATCTGAAGTTTTGCTTTTCAAAACCCACTCCAACTAACAACTTTACTTTCTCTCATCGCGGCTGCGGCTCCAGATCCAATATAGTCTTGTCTGTCTGTCGGCTTGGCATGGCTACCTAAGGTACTTGCCCCGCCCCGCTCTCCAGTCAGTCTACTCCATCGCATCTTCGTTTTCGTTCCTCCCGTTTATTTGTTTGCTGAGTACCTGGTGAGTAGCAAACACCCAGCCCCTGAGAAGTTGGAAGCTCTTTCGCTAATTGGCTGGCCAGACCGGCTCGACCTGCCATACATTTCTCAATAATGTGCCCCTATTCCGTGCCTCCCGAGCGCATGGTCAGATTATCTTGGATGTTACCGAATAAAAGCGCTAGCATACTCTGTATACCATCTTGACGGCAATACAGCTCTAATGAATCTCAGCGACGTACAAGTATTTTATTTTATCATATCATCATATCGCATATCACCGCATGTGATTGTCTAGGAAGGTTAACGTTTCGGTACGAGTAGATTTGAAAAATACATACCTATCAAGGAGCCAGCTCCAGCCATACTAATCTGCGTATCCAGGTAGCTTATACCTGCCAAGCAAAGTACTCCCGTAAATAAAATAAATATCCCGACCAGCCCGTCAAAACTGTCCCAATTAATCTTACAACCCAAACCGTCAGTTAGGATGCAGATTTTCATTACAGTACGGCGTAGCTGTCTAGCTACCCGTTTTATGACGGAGTGGTAATTAAGCGTCGGAGCATGGGTTCCGATGCTTTGGTATGGTAAATTGTGAAGGAAGTTTTCTATCTACGGTATTCAAGTATTACTCGGACCGTACTGGGGAAAACATCATTACGCCTCGCCGTGTGTACGGACCGTGATCGTTTGCCTCTAGGCGTTCAGCCAATGGGATGGTAAGGTCCAACATTGACAACGTGTATTAGTAGAACCTAGGTCCATGTAGAAGCTCTAACTCGAGAGCTTCGGAGACTCTACAGTATAAGTGCGAGGAGTATAATATATCAATATCTACCCTTCTTTATATCCAAGACGAATTAACATCGGTATATTTACGGTATTACCTTACTATCCCCATTGCTACAGTATGAAACCCCATCTTTCGTCACTTTCCCAATCTTCTGATTGCGCGCAGGGTAACCATGTGCACGTATGGATTTCGGACCATTTCCCGACTCGCTAGCCGATCTAGCGGAGATTTAAACCCTGTAGAAGATCCAGAAAGTAGATCAGATCGCCCATATCAATCGACTTACGAGTCAGCCAGTCTCTAGCAGAGGATGCAAGACGCCGCCAGACAGATCCCGACCTGTGTTAATAGGTCCGTCCGCCTTGCTCTACACTGGTAATCAAGCCTAGGCCTACTCCACCACCGATTTGATTTCTGCATCGACCCCCTGCCTTCACGCTAGGTCCCGAGTTCGTGGGCGAAAACGTGTTGGGCTTTTGGGCTTCGACCTCTTCACTTAATTGTCCTAGCATCATCGAATTGCAGGGTCATGGCTTCGAGGTTGGGCTCGAGCCTGGGTCTTTATCGGATTTTGAGCAATGCTAAGGAGAATCACATAACATATACAGGCCCCCCCTCTCTCGCCCCTGGCAGGCAGGAGCTTGGCTTGGAATACTATGCATCTTTCGTTTTTCTAACCCCAGTTCCGCGCTGATTTCTGCGCTCTGTAACTCTAATGGGTGGTCTCAAAGGATCATCTGTCATTGTAAGTGGAGCGGAGCGGAATCCCTCTTTCTCTGAATCTATGCTATGCAATGCAATGCAATGCACTGCGATTCATCCAATCCGTATCCTTTCTAACGTGCTTATAGGCGACAGAATGGTCCCTCCTCGGAATCGCGTACTGTTTTGTTGCAACGCGCATGGCGGTGCGGCTCTTCAATCAGCAGAAGGCCTTGTTGGTATCCGATGTATTCCTGCTGCTATCCTCAGTCTTTGCGCTGGGACTGGTGATTACCGATACCATGATTTACAAGCTTGGCGGGTTGAGCGATAAGGATATCGAGGATCCGAGTACTCTAATTCGAATGGGAAAGGTACTGTGATCTTCTTCTTCTTCCTCCTTTGGAGGCCGATTTATACTTTGCTAACCGACACGCGCGTCTTTGGATAGATCGCGTTTGCTGGGAACTACTTTTACGACACGGCCATCTATTTCCCCAAATTCTCCATCCTCGCCTTATACGTGCGACTGATCCCCCAGACGATGCCACGCTTACGGCTGGCGCTCTGGATCGTGATTGCATTTGTCGTTATATCCTGTTTGACTACGTGCCTCGCGGATACCTTCTGGTGCGGTTCGCACGTCGCTTCAAACTGGTCTTTGGAAGAAGGGGCTTGCAATGCATTCGAATCGGCACACCTATTCCACTTAGACTGGTCCCTCAACTTCATCTCTGATGTATTCAGTAAGTACCCTGTAGCTACAAACTTAATAGGCCTAGGAGTAGAGCTGATATTATTGTCAAGTCTTCGCGTTGCCATTTCCACTCTTCCGAAACTTAACGCTGGCGAGACGACAACTCTACGGCCTAATCTTCACATTCGCGCTGGGTTTGATTACCATCGCTGTAAACGTAGCACGATTCGCCACTATCATCCTCACGAAAAACTTCAACGCAATCTGTAAGCTCATCGACACCGAACCCCTAACCGTATAACAGCATCTAACAAGCAATTGCAGACGTCTGGAGCATGGCCGAGATGACAACTTCCATAATGGTCGTCTGTCTCCCCGCTCTCCGCCCTCTCCTCCGCCGCACCGGCGAATTCTCCTCGACCGATCCCAAGTCCTCCGGAAACGTCATCACACGCACCATAAACTCGGCGCTCTCGCGGACCGGGCTGTCGCAGCTTGGATCATCGCGTGTCGACAACCGCAATGGGACTCGTCGTGGTAACAACGTGGATCGGATGGAGAGGCTTAGCGATGTAGATGATGATGGCGGAAGCCAGGTTGAGCTCACGACACAAACGAAAGCTCCTGTTATTTACAAAAGTCAGGATGTCAGTGTGCAAAGTTCGCGCATTGACGCGAGTAATAGTCATGATAAGGATGTGGAGCGACAGACAGGACTAGGGAATAATTCGACGGCTTGGCATGAATAGGGGAATGTATAAAAAGAGATACCCTCAGGCAGATTGGTCATGGATCATACAGTACATGCAGCGCTGAGATGTTGTAAATAGATATAATAACAGCTATGTTCAGTATTTTGTATTAATGTATTAATGTCATGGTTTACGACGTGCCAAGAGCTTTGAATCAAATCCGAGTATCCCCTTCTTTACTGATTTGTTAGTGTACCCCTCTTCTTCGACTTCATGTTTCTGCACAATGCTCAAGAACACCTGATCGAGAGTCGTTGGACTGACAGAATAGTGCTCCAAACCTAACTCGGCAGAATGGTCTTCAAGTAGAGTAATCAAAGACCCAATTCCACTACGTTGCTTCGAGGGCAAAGCGTCGTCTCCACCGTGTATCTGGTCGATGCTAGCAACCTTTATGCTTGGCTGGTTGGACTCGTGCCTCTGTGCAGGGACTGAGAATCTCAATTGACCATGATAAGTCTTGTCCTCAATATCGGCACCAGGAAAATGCTCGAAAACCCATGACCTGAGTCCAGCAATCTCCTTATCAGTTGTATGTGGCGCAGACTTCAAAACCAGATGGATATAGTAAGCATCGCCATGTCTCTGCCGAAGGTGGTCGCTCGTACCCATCGCTAACATCCGCTTCGCCATAATTCCTGCACGGTCAGCTAATGCATCCGCTTCCTCCATGCTATGTGTTGTAAGAAGCAGAGATCGACCAGGCACGACTGCCGCCAATGTTCTCCACATGACTCTTTTCGCTGCTGCATCCATGCCGGAACTTGGCTCATCCAGCACAAGCACTGTCGGGTTTCCAATTAATGCAATACCAAGTGACAGCTTCCTCTTGTTGCCACCAGAAAGCTTAGCTGCCATTCGAAATGAAAATGCCTCGAGGCCCACAGCCTTGATAACAGCTTTGACATTGTGTTCGACATCAGGAACACCTCTAATTCTTGCATAGAACTGGAGGTGTTCCACAACAGTCATTTGATCCATAGCGTCAAATTGGGGACACACTCCAAGGTGTGACCTTGCTTTAGCTCGTTGCCTGCTTATGTCAATGTTCTCAACCTAGACTCAGATTAGCAGTGCGATCCAACAGCTCAAACTGTGGAGTATAAAGATCACGTACAAATATGTTGCCACTATTCTTCGACGGCTGGACATCGCCGCGAATCAAAGAGATGGTAGTTGATTTTCCCGCGCCATTTGGGCCTAACAAAGCGAACACTTCTCCGCGTTTGATCCCAAATGTGAGATTTTCGACAGCTGTCACGTGCCCAAAAGATTTCGTAAGATTCTGTACACGAAGTCCGTCATTGGAGCTGTTGACACGAGCGAGTTCTTCTGCAACCTCTTCATCGGCAGGAACAACTTTTGCCTCAGAAGATGTGCTTGGCGCATTCCGAACTCTTCGGTACCAGGCTAGGACCGATCCAGAATCGTTCCAGAGGAGGATCGCAAATAACACGAACACTTGCACAAATAAGTAAAGTATCGGCCCGCCGTATTGAATTATACCACCGGGGGAAGCAGCCAATTGTCGTCCAGAACACGTGGTGGAAAATATGTTCAGTGCGATGAAAAGTGATCTTATAAGTGATCCCATAGGCGTGATCAGCGATATCGTGAAATGAACGATGAGTAGATAGTCATCTATTTTGTTGATAGGCTGAAAATAGTTAGTAATGAGACCTAAAACTAGGCTATTAATGCAGGACTTACAGCATAAGTCAACGTGCAAAGATACCCAATCAAGTATATCAGAAAGAGGATTGCCTGGCCAGCAGCAGCGAATGCATAGGCCGAGAGCTGTGTCTGTGCGAAAAGGGAGACCACATATGAAAGCAAGATGGACGCCAGACCGAATAGTGCGAAAACAACAAACAAATAGCCGACATGATACCAGGCTGTCGAGACAGCAGCAAAGATGATAACACCCAGGGCACTAGAGCCAAGTACTATAATGAAGTCGAATCCAAGATATGCCAACCATAGAGGCAATGACCGAACACCATTCGAGTATTCCAGACCGCGAATATTCCTGGTCCTTTCTACGGTGGGATACAATGAGAAGAATCCTGGGTATGCTGCCATAGCCAATCCAAAATAGACCACGAGCTGCAGAGATTTCCCGGTTGACGGTGCCCATGGTATATCAAAAGACGAATATTGCGTGTGAATGGTGATGTTTGTAAGCCTGTTATTAAGAATATTATGCCCAAATACGCCATTGTAGATATCCCCATTTCCTTTATACGCAAGGGTCGGCTCTGTTGTGCCATCTCCGAGGAAAATGCCTGCTGGGGTGACATTTGCAAAATTCTGATCGATATAATTATTGAATTGTGGGAGCGTGTCAACTATGTGAACAGCCCGATGGACTTGGACCCCAGGAGGAATTGGGTTAGATGTGAGAGAGCTAGATAAAGAAGCAAGGGTGGCGGTAGAGAATTGGGACGATGGGCCAAGAATAATATCATAGTCAATAAGCGCTGCCAGGCTTTCGACATCAGCGAGTGAAATTCGTTGGGTTGGTGAACAGCCTACAGCTTTGAAACCTTTCAAGAACAATGAGACAAGACCAGCCGCAATGATGGGAAGGAGGAAAGCAGCAGTATATGGAAGGTAGTTCCGTCGCAGTATGGTGTATCTCTTTCGAAATAAGACCCAGCCTTGACGAAACGGGCCAATGGTCTTACCGGTGTGTATCTCTAGCTGCAGATCCCGAGGCTTCGCTGAAACTACTACACTAGGGGACTTTTCATCCTGAGATTCAGATTCGGGGTCGATGCCGTCTGCGCGGACTTCATCTGCAAGTTGCAAGAAAACGTCTTCGATTGTGGGTCCGGATAGTTGATAATCTGTGAGACCTGCTGATTCGAGGCGTCTGATGATTTTTGCAGCTTGGCTGGATGTGGAAGCAAGGTATATGGTTTGGCCGATATTTGTATGACTGGGAACCTCGAGGTCAGGTGCTTCCTCATGGCCGGGACCAGTCTGTAGATGGATTCTATATCCTCCGCCAAGTTTACTCTTAAGCTCCACGGATGAGCCCTGAGCTCGGAGGGTACCTTTGGAAAGAATTGCGATCTGATCGGCAAGAAGATCCGCTTCATCAAGGAAATGAGTCGTCATTATTATCGTGCGAGTGCCCCTCTCAGCCAGCAGAATGTCCCAGATTTTGCGTCGGCTTAGTGGATCGAGACCACTGCTAACCTCGTCGATACAACAGACTGTACTACCTCCAGTGAACATCATGCCGAGCTGAAGCTTTCGTTTTTGCCCACCAGAAAGTGTCTTTGCCTTCGCACCTATCTTCCGATCCAAGTCAACAGCCTTGATGAGATCGTGTAGGGCTTCTTTGCTATCACGTTGGTTTGTGGATTTTAGCTGATTGAAGATACGAACATGCTCTTCGACGGTCAGCTCATCCCAGAGAACATTCTTCTGTGGAGCAATGCCAAGTCCGCCGGTACCGTCAACTGCGATGGTTCCGCTGGTGACGGTATTGAGTCCAGCGATGGCATCTAAAGTTGTGCTCTTTCCACTACCATTTGCACCGAGTAAAACGCAAATCTGCCCCTTTCTCGCACTAAACGTCAGGCCATTGACTGCCACAACAGTTGCCTTGGGGGTCTTGGTGATGCCCGCAGCCTTGCGCCGAAACCAGTTCGGGCGGTAATGCTTTGTGAAGTGATCGAGACGCACTGTCTCGTATGATGTCGAGTGGGCATCAAAATTTCTAGTGATTGATCGTCCTTTAGATGCTGTTCCGTAGAGGAATTTCTCAATCATGGCTCCAAGCAGCGGGTACACAAATATCTGTACAATCACAAAGACCCAGAGAGCGAGCCCAGGAAGGCCCCAAGGATTGTTCGGCGCAGATCGTACAAGATCTGTGGCCAGGTCCTGACGCTCATACCGGGCCATGAAAACGATAAAGAATACATAATTGCAAGGAACGAACAACAGGCTGAGAATTGCCACGGTGCCAGAATTGGTCTTGTCAATGACCTGTGCGAGCACACCCAGGAGGAGCGTCACAATTGCCATGGTAATACCACTCAGTTGGGCCTTCTTGAAGAAAGAAGCACCGAGTATGGAAAAGGATGCTAGAGAGAGACCAGCCAATAAGTGATAAATGATGACAATGGCCATGGATGTTTGGGCAAAGACTCCGACGCCCAAAACGATTCCCATGATGATCCAGCCCGGAGTGTAGATAATGTCAAATGCTAGATGATAAGACAAAATCCTCGCGACTTGAGGTTGCCACCTTTTCAGATTGGGCATCATGGCTTCAATCAACTGTGACATGCCAAGCTCCCGCTCTGAAGCAATGAATCCGGTCAAATGGTATGTGACTCCAACCATGCCAATGAGGAACGCAACGCCCAAGATGTTGATGATGGCGCCTTGGTAGTTTACGCGGATCTTGGTATTGCGCTGAGCTTGATTGATGGAGGTGAAGGGATATTCGAAGACGGAAGGGAGGGTCGTGGCATTGAGGCGCGCAATTGCACTGTCGACAGCCCTTTGGAGGGGCAAAAGGTATATTTCGACATCGTTTGTGGTTTTATGAACATGCATCTGGACTCCAAATGCGCCATCTGCGCGGAGAGTATAGTTCCACGACCCGCCTTGTCCCTGGGTAGGGGAGGATTGGAAAACGACGGCACCATAGCAGGAAGTCGCACCCCGCAGACTGCTCCGGCAGGTATCCAACAACTGCGCTTCTTGCGATAGGCGCACAACCTTTCCAGACGCCTGTGCCTGCTGTGCGACAGAGTCTATGACCTGCGCGACGTCGCCTCCGAGTCCATTGCTCACCAAAGCCAGTGTGTTTCTTCCCCCACCGGCCGCAGCCATGCCCTCTGCCAACGTGCGAACTGCATGGCTCGAGCCTATGCCGTAATCCGAGGGTGGGATGAAGAGGTTCCTGGCATACGACAAGAAGATCATAAACCCGATGGGGAGGAGGAATGCGCGGATGGTGGTGGCAAAGGCATGGCGGTTGAGGGCGATGAGGAGGTTCTTCTTCGTCAAGGTCCAGCATTGAGAGGGGAGAGCCATAGGTAGAGGGATTAGGGGTTGAAGACTAGAGAACAGCACATTACGGCTGGATAAATGTAGAAGGAAGTTTATACTCAATATTATGTGCCTCACATTGCTATTCGAAAGGTACCTACCTACCTACCTACCTACCTACCTACCTACATTATCCTTGCCTCGTTTTCGTATTTACGCTGCTGTTCCTCGGCATGTTGATGAGCCGTTGATTTGGTTTGGTTTGGAATCGCGCACGGCCTTATTAACGCCCGAGTTATATCACACCACACCGTGTTGGAATTTCTATCGTATTGGAATCCGTCGTCTTTATCTTTGAATTATATTATATTGTAACTAGATATATGGTATAGTAAATCCATCTTCTTTAGATTAAGTTTGCTGGGATCAACTCGATCGCTGCTAATATTAAGATTAAACGACAAGCAGACATAAAGCTTATTTCAACCATCTACCAGCGGTCGAGTTGCTTGTTTCAGGAGGAAACAAGAAAGCCGCCATTTATCATTGGAATCGAGTAGAACAACACTCGAGTAGCTGAAAAAACACACATGTGCTATCAATAGCCTCGGCTCTTGGTATATAAGGGTATTCCTTTCCCTAGAATTAGGATAAAGGTCAAGGTCCTCCATTGCAAAGCTAAGATGATACTGGCTGTATCTCGACCTTTATAGTCATGTGATTTGGCGTAGCTTAGTCAGCGAAGAGTGTTGTTTTTCGGGGGTAAAAGACTTGAATTGACTGCTGTTCTACAGTGGGAAGTATGCTATATGTATAGGGCTTTCAAGCCCGTAAGTAGCCGCTGTGGCCATCGCCACTTCAAGCTTTCAGCTTTGCCACAGGGGCTATGCACCGCCACTTCGGGGCTCCCGAACACTAAACTTTGCAACAAAGAGGTCATCACCTCTTCGCGTCTCCCACACACTTTTAGATAGACAATGCAACATGGACCAACCGCGAAGACCACTCTTTACTAGCTAGTTGTACGAAGTGATTATCACGATACCTGAGATATTAATAAGACTAGTCTTAACTTGTAGATTTGTACTTATATCAAGACATGTAAAAAATCTATAGAGCAATCCGCAGTCCAAACCAGCCGAGTTGAAGTACAATTAATCCTGCATATAAGAGAAAGGAGTAGGGCTAAATAGTATGCTTACTATTATACATATAGGAAACCTAAGAGTATAGAAAGTTTTACAGAACATTTATGCTTTATCAAAGCTTCTTACTAAGCTATAGTAAGTAGATATGATTTGGTTAAGAGTTTAGTAATTTTGCTGGTCTGTTAAGTTGATTATTAAGGCGGTCGATAAATTTTCCAATTTTTTAATATTATTACAAAACCTCCTATATCTTTTTTCATGAAATTTTATATCATTATCTACGTTTCATATTGCGCCTTAGCGAGAATTTCCACAGTTCTTCATGCTTCAACTAGGACATAGGGAACCCAAAGGATGCATATATCAAGTACTCCTTGTGACGGTTTGGCCCAACACCCCCTGTATTTAAGGTCTCCTTTCCTCTCTTCTTTCTGTACCTTTAGATTCTAATAAAGTATCGAGTTTTGTGCCGTTGCATACTACCACGCTTACACTCCTCATTCCAGAAATCACAGGGTGTCTACCGGTATACCCAGCACTCTTTTCATTTCTGTACTTCCTCGCCATTTCGCGTATTCGATCGCACTTCCAAAACCCCCTTTGGCCTCTGGATCCGCTCCATGCGCCAATAACCACTTGACCCTCTCGACCGCTCCCGCCATTGTAGCGTAGACGATGGGATACTGTGCAAGCACGTAGTGTGAATCCTCGGCCTGGTTAACATCTGCTCCATGCTCAACTAGGAGCGCCATCACCGGAATCCTGCTGGTATCAAATACCTTGCTCGATATGACGCCAGCGTTGAGCTGCGCCCCGGCAGGGGTCCCAGGAGGACAAGCCCCCGCGGCGGAGTGGAGCGGGGCCCCATTCTGGACCTGCGCGCCTGCGTCTAAGAGTAACCGTACCGCTTCCAGCGAGCCCGTGGCTGCGGCTGTTGCAAGAGCAGCGCAGGAATCCGTGTCAGACGTGCCCATCCGGTCACGATTGTTGCGTTGCTTGCCCAGGTTGGGGTCCGCGCCATGCTCGAGGAACCATTGAAGTAGCGGCAGGTTGGTCACGACTTTGGGAAGAAGCACCGTACCATAGAAGCCGGGGGTATTTGGCGTCCATCCATACTGGGTGAAGAGTTCAAAAAGAGGAATCTGTTGTGCGGGTGGCGCCGAGAGAATGCGGGTTGGGGTGTTACGAAGAATGGGCGCACCTGTGGAGAGGAGGTGACGGGTAATATCGAGATTGCCTGCGCAGAGGGCATCAAGCAGACTGTTGTGGAGTGAGTCCTGGCTCCGCGAGTAGGCGAGAGCCTCCCCCTCACTGTCCAGGCCTTGTTGACCGGCAGCTTCGAACGATGCGGAGCTGGAGCGAGAGCTATAGCTGGAGCCAGAGCCAGAGCCAGACCGGTCCCGTGGGCTGGCGGGTTGCTGGGGGAGGTCGTGGTAGGCGGAGCCCATCTGATAATACGTTTGCGTGGTTGAAACTCGACTATATGTACTATACAAGCTTGAAATAAGATAGAGAGTCGATGATAGGCCTGGCACCTAGTGGTTGTGGTTTTGATTATTGTATTTGCGATTACTATCATTGCTGAGATTGTACAGAATAACCTCGATATAAGCATACGGTCGGGACCTCCAAATGCTAAGCATAAACCTTATAGCGAGAGTCTTAGCGCTGGCTTACTAGTAATATTATCTTTGCTTAATAATTATACATATCTTATATTTTACTTCCTAATTAGTATTAGAGTATTTTTAACCTTATATTTATTAGTTGACGTTATTATTAGAGCGATCAGTGTTATTTACATAGGTGTAGAGCCTGCTCTAGTGATGTCTATATATAGAGCAGTGGGTTTTTAGGTAATGGAGGAAATCAAGTATATTATTTAGTAATAAAAAGTTTCCGGACCAAGATCCTTAAGCATATGCTTATAGCCTTATTAAGGTATCAGGACCCGAATATCTAAGCGAAGGATTTTCTGTGATTACTATCGTTCCTGCTGTTGTTCCTCCTCTTACTAGACCAGATGATCGGGATAGAACAGCCAATCATCCAGGGGGGCATAGATACGGATGCGGACTTGGCACTTCCTATAGGTTCCACCTTCGCGGCCGTCCTGGGATATCCCCGCCACGTGCTCGGATACCTACTCCGAAGGTGCTTAGCAGCTCCTACTTCTTAGTTTCTACCGATAATCCGATTCCTTGTATCCTTCCTCGTCTAGCTTAACCAGTTATTAACGTGGCATTTGTAGAAGGCGTTATAAAGGAGTACTAGGCTTGGCGTGCAAAAGCGCAAGATTCTTATTTTTAGAGTTCTAAAGGAGTCTTTTCAAGTTAAAATTGTGACGAGTACCATAGGAGTGGCGCATATTTACAAGGAAACCCAGTTAATGCCAATACGTCTATACGTAACATGTTATTCACTTGACGTTTGAACCTATTAAACTACGCTACTAACTACTTTTAGCTACGACCTCCGTACTTAAAAAGGCGAATTTAACTTGAAACAAGAAGATTACTAAAAGTCAGTCTCCTAGAAGCCCTCTGAATGTCCTACTTCCTAGGTGAAAAGCGGTTCTGCTCTCAGACCTAAAAAAAGATGCGATCATTTACATTCAATCTGGCGACTAGATCCTCCTCGGCTTGGCAACAGTAAGTTTGGACTCGTAACATTCATAACTACCTTATATACTCTCTAGATTCCGGTCTGGATGATTTTCCTTATTTCTTATCTCCACATTACTGTCTTTATTGCTTCCCTCTCTTCGACTACACTCCTTGCTTCATCATGCGGTACGGTGAGAGTTGGTCTCTTTTAGCGGGACGAGCGACTATTACTCTTCTATTCATTGCTCAAGATGCATCTGCACAGCTCTGGAATAGTACTACAATCAGAAACAGCACTACTGCAACCAGAAATAGTACTACTGCAAGCAGAAGTAGCATTACTACGATCAGCAATAACACTTTGCATACTTCCTCATCAACACACACAGCTTCGTTGAATAGCACGGGAGTTATCCTTTCAAACCCCACACAAAGTAGCATTACTACAATCAGCAAAAACACTTCGCATACTTCCTCATCAACACACACAGCTTCGTTGAATAGCACGGGAGTTATCCTTTCAAACCCCACACACAATTCGACGGTTGCATCAACCAATATACCAGGCGTGAGTACCACCCGAAGCAATAGTTTACCGCCTCTATCAACAACACCTTCCGGGACTCACTTATCTCCCAACGGCACTAAAACCACCCCCTCGAGCTCTTTAACGGCTGTACCTAACCCTTCAGCTGGGACAGGGAATGGAACAGGAAATGGAAATGGAAATTCATCGTCCATAGCTGGGGGAGTCATAGGAGTCATTCCTTCAGTCATCGTTGAATCTGGTACGACGGTTACAAAGGAAATTATCACTGGTGCGTCGCTCACGGGACCGATCACTCTCGCACCGGCCACCACGACATACGCCAGCTCCGAGGCCACATCTGCCGTATCTTCGGTCTCTTCACAGCTTGTCGCCATCGTACCCTTTATACGTGCGTGGGAAAAAGACCCGACTCCCGAGCTCAAGACGGATGCGCTTGACAAGGTCACCGGGACAAAAGGCGTTGTGATAGGCCTCATCGATAGTCTAGGCACCGAGCCGTCGTCAAGTCCATGCGGCTCGAAGAAGAAGCGGTTCTCGCTGCCGATCATTGGCGATATTGTCAATGCATTGACCTGTATTGCGGGCCAGCTGGATCAGGTCACAAGTAAAATTAGCGGCGGGGTCGTGGAAGGCGTCGACGACAATGTGTCCACGATTGAATCAAAGCTCGACGAACTCGAAGACGATAATGAGGACGACGAGACGAAATCCCAGTCGGATAGCTCGACATCCACGGAGAGTTCGCAGAGCTCATGCAGATCAACCCAGACGGCATTCCAGGTCACTATCCTCTGCGAACCGACGGTCTATACGACTATGGGCACTGCGGTTTCCACAACGGCCTGCTCCTCGACGACTACCGTGACAACGACAGGCTGCACCGCTACGGGACGCACGACCACGATTTCAAGTAGCATTTCGGCCTCCGCAGCGCAAACACCTTGTGGAGCGGACACCTGCGGCGATACTTGTAGCTTCGTGCGGCCTTCAGGCAAGCCGGTGAGCACGACGGCCTTCGACTGCAAGAACTTCCCGACGATCACGGTCACTTCCGACGCAGCACTGCCGAGCGGGGACTCCAAGAGAGAGCTGGGGGAGATGTTGTTGCCACGCGTGCTTCCCCCTAAGGAGCCGGAGGCGCACGACCCAGATTACGTCGAAGAGTTGGCCGACGTGGCCACGGTCCTCCCTTTGAGGATGGGATCTGTGTACACGGATAGCGCTTTCTACCCGTACCCCGCGCAAGACTCGGGACGTCACGTGTATGGGTTGCAGGCGCTTACGGGCTGTACGGCGGTCATCAGATCTGGGTCGTCACGCCCTACACGACGGATTTTGACCGGAATAGACTGTCGCCACCGGTCACCACCACATTCCGCTATGAAGACAATGCGCGTTACCTGCTACGCAAGCTTGGCGAGATGATCCCGGGGGCCGAGATGGACATCACGGGCTACTATCGCAATGCCAACAACGATTTGGAAGGCATGGTCTGGCTGGAAGTCGACCGAGAGCAGCGATGGGAAGCACGGCCAGGCCGCGACCCCCGCCAGATGGGGTTGTGGCGACTGTGGGCCGGGCCGGACCTTATTGACGACAGGGAGTTCCGCGTGACTCAGCGCCGCCACCGCACGAACAAGCGGGCGCTCGAGCTGGGGAGTGGGAGCAAGCGACAAGTGACTGACGATGACCCGGACGGGGACTACGAAGGTGATGACGGCGAGGAATTCGATATGGAAAATCCATGTCCAGTCGGCGGCGCGGCATCTGGAGCGAATTCCACCTCCACCGCCACCGGCAATGACACCGTGACCTCGGCATCGGCATCGGCATCGGTACGCAAAGACACGGCCACGTTGACATCTCTTAACCACACCGCAACCTCATCTTCCCACCTCACAGCCATTACGACCTCATCTTCCCGCCTTACAGCCAATACTACCTCATCTTCCCACCTTACAGCCATTACGACCTCATCTTCCCGCCTTACAGCCAATACTA